TCGTGTAGTTAAAAGCAAAGCTCTCAAGCTGCAGCCTCACACAAGTGGTTAGCAAGCTTTTCAAATGATTTTTGTGTAAAAGAGTTGGCTGACTTGTATCTTTGAGATTGAATCACTTTAGCAGGCCGCTTGATTTTTGTTTTGGTTGCCAAGGGAACGTTTCCAGAATCTGTGGCAACAGTGGCTGTGCAACAGTACGCACTGCGCGCGTTCTTTGTTTTGCCAGCAGTATCTATAGGCAGAAGCTTTTAACGCCGTTTGCAAACCATGCGCAAACCTGCTTGGACCGTTTCCACCCATTACCAGGGCGGTCTGATACTGAAGAAACACGTCAGCCCTTACACCCGTACTGGGTAAGACAGTGGAAGGAGTCTATGGAGAATAGACGTATAGAGCCCCTCCGGGCTCCTCCTGTACGTCGGGAGGCACAGCCCTGTCCGCCACCCTAGTGGGCCAAATCTCTACTAGCATGACCAAGCATTACGAGAACGGTCAAACACTGAAAATACACGTCAGCCTTTGTCCACAGCATCTTTCTTCCGCCAAAGCAAATGAGAGACGTTTACGGCCTGCTTGGACACTTTCAATCCATCACTAGGACGCCTTGCGTAGCCGTGGAGGCGACTTTGCCGGGTATGCTGCCCACTTGTATGTGTCAACCCCACTGCCTCTTTCGAGAGAAGAAGAAAGCTTGTGGGCGATTGTGTATGTGTTGTGCATATGATTACTTTGTATATTCGAGAATGAATATCTATATTGCGTTCTGGAAACATTGGAGTGCTTCGCAAGTATTTGAAAAATTATTGTGCGAGATATGGTATGCATACATATTGCGTGGTTTTGACTTTTGGGAATAAGAGAATTTTGTCCCACCCATCATTGGAATAAGATGAGTTATTCCGTGACATTTTTGTCCCCGTGTCTGGGACACAAAGTTTTTGTACCCACCCAGCCCACCCTGGGGTAATCAACGTCTTGTGTTGGAAATATGTCACGACATGGGGTCGCGTGTATGCTGGGCATACTTTGATGTCAGGGTTGGTGTGCTACCCGATATGTGCGTGTTTGTCCCACAAACGACAAGAAGAGATGCGTTACTGTTGCTGGAAGGAAGATTGGAATTGGAATATCGAATATGATTTGATCACAACCTCCCACTGGAATAGCATATTCTGAAATATTTTTTTTTTTGACAAAGCTTTGATCACCAGAACCTTGTGCAATCAACCACAATAATTTCAATGGATACTTCAACACACCCCTAAATGATGCCCGGAAAACGCGATGAACTGTTTTTTGTTTTGAGTTTCTCAGCATGTTTGGATTTCATTATGTGTCTGGTTTGTGGTTGGAAGCTCAGCGGAGCTGGCGTAGGTAAGGTTTGCCCAAACCTGGCAGATGCGCAAGTGAAACGTAACTTCATAAAAGAAAGGTGTTTCCCCCTTCACGATTTCCGAGTGTTGATGTCACGTGATCTTCACTTTCATGATTTTATGCTGTTCCTTGTTGGGAATGCTTGCTGATCTTTGGGGCATATGATTTTTTTTTTCTGAGAGTGTGGCAGGGTGCGTGATTTTTTTTCATATTTTCCCTTATGGCTTGTTGTATGGATTGCAAAATGGTCTGGCAAATAATTTCTGTCAATGCGCAGCCCTTTCTTGCCCATTTGTGACAAGCAAATGTCTTTTCCCATCTTACACGGTCTTGGTTGTACAGTGTGAGAAGCCGTTCAAAATTGGAGTGTTCAAGAATATTTTTCTTGTTCACCCTGCCAGGTTCTCAGCCGGAGATGTTTATAAAGGATTGATTGCATGCGCTGTTGTGCTGCGCATGTTGTGCAGATGAAACAATTGATTCCCTTTTTCACGCACTTGACGAAGAAGATATGACCGATCTCAGTGCTTGCATACATTCATGCCCGCGTTTTGGGTTGGATCCGTTCTGCAAATTTGTATTTGGCCATGGTTGGTTTCATTGAGTGCGCAGTGAGTGAAGGGCATTACCTGAAATTTGAAGGCAACCACCCGCTTTGAATTGTTACAAGGAAGCAATGCATCGAATGCTTGTGTCAAATACGCACTTTGTTTGATGATTGACCCATTGGAAAGTGTCCGAAAGCTCAGAAGTTTCAGCCGGTGAACTTGTAAATATGGGATTCAAACGTTTCTCAGGTTTTGTAGGCTGTATACCAATTTCTTGAAAGATGTTGTCCATGCAAGGTCTCCTTTGCTGAAGTTCAAAGTGCTCTTTCACAGTTCGTCTTGCAAGCGTGAATTGATCATGAGCTTCTTTACGAGCACGGGGAATTACATGCGGACGTGAAAAATTGCACAATGTACAAAGTACAAAAATTATTTTGTGACATGGTTGGTTCGTGCGATTGGCGGTTTTTTGATGGCATGCCTGTTTGCCGATGTGGGTTAACTTGTCGTTCAGTCCGCATGTTGGGCATACTCTAACCCGGCACCGTTCTTGTCCGCAGCTGCAGTTGTAGGTAAGGGGTGGTGGGCACACACTTATGCAGCTGCAAGAGCCTCGGTGTTTGTTTGCATGTTGTTTCGCGTTGTTGGTCACCGCATAGGCGTGCGTGCACGTAGATCGAGGTGTTTTTGATTCGCACAGCACGAAAGCATGTGGCTGGCTGAGAAAGGGCATGGGTTTACCCAACTTGAGGCAAAAACGTGTTGGATGTGGCGCATGCAACTAAGGCCAAAGCTTTACCAGCTGACATTGCAGAGATCTTCTGCAGCAAGCTGGTCGCATAAGGGTTTGTAATGGCAATATGATGGTTTGTGCATTCGGCAGGGATGGGCGTTTGCTTGATTGGAAGTCCAAAATATTTTCTCGTTTGGATCGTGACGCTGTGGCATCGTCAGATCACGCATGCCATCTACGGCAACTTCTCGGCCCCAAAGGCGCAGGAGCTGGCTTTCCCTTCTGAAGGGAGCTGCTTGCCCGGATAGTTGTGCACTTGTTTACTGAATTGAGCGTGTTTTTCAGGAGATTGTCTGCTCCCGGTACAAGACGCTGGAACTTCTGAGGTTCCCTGTTGCAAGTTAGAAGCGATTTTGCACGAAATTTTGACAGGCCAGACGATTCTGGGAAAGTTCAAAGTATCTTGTCCGTGGAGCGCTCCCAACCTGCCACACATGCATGTCACGTTCCGTGTGCAGAGTTGCCCTGTGCAGGAGATCTTTGGTGTTATCCGAGCTCTGCACCCGTTTAGACTAACAGGAGCCAGCCGTGATTACATAGTTTTGCCGGCATGATTTCAGCTGGGCCATCTCCAGCCATGTCAGCTCTCGAGATGTAGATGTGTCATTTTTTCGTGATGCAGGTCGTCGCATCGGACTCCGGGAGAATAGTTATTCTGGAATACGATGGCACAAAGAACATGCCGCGACCTTGCCATAGCTGCGGAGATACTCTTGGGCCGGTGCTTTGTTCCGAGGTTCGAGAAGGTACACCAAGAGACCTTTGGCAAGACAGGTTGCCGAAGAATTGTGCTGCGAGCCCAGATTTTTTCTAGGAAGCCTGACACAAGTCTTCGATATCCAAACTGACTTTCAGTTCTATGGAGGCCTGGTCAGTATCTTGCAGTTGACCCCAAGGGACGCTCTTGCCTTGGGTTTGAGCCAAGTGAAGTTGATGGCTGGGCAGTGCCCTTGCTTTTGTCCAAGGTGCAGTTATGATTGGTGCGATTGAGAAGCAGAAGTTTGCGCACGTCTTACGGGAATTGCTTGTCTCATGTTCGCGCATCTCTCCCACAAGCTTGCTTTCAACGCTGTAGAGACAGGTGTACATCTTGAATCGGGATTCAGCGGCGCGGCTGACGATTTCATCGCCACTGGAGGCGCACAAGAGCAAGAGGCTGAGCTTGGCTGACCTCCCAGTTCACGGACTGAAGTCGGTTACCCCTCAATAGCTGTGATGTCGAGGTTACACCCTAGTATATGCCATGGTTGGCATGGATGTGGGATTTGAGAATCCGCTCTTTGCAAGCATTGAGCTCAGCTACGAAGAGGCCAGGACTGCATAAGCATCGTTGTCTGTTGTCCTTTTGTGGTTTGCCCGTGTGTGAGACCTACAGGTGGACAAGGACCCGCAGGCAGAGCCTCCTCAGAAGATGTTGACGCTCTATGAGATGGATTTGGGATTGAACCATGTCACGCGGAAGTTTGCAGATGCTGTGGACCACAGTGCGCACGCCCTGATTGCTGTGCCTGGTGGTGTGGATGGGCCGAGCGGTGTGCTGGTTTGCTGTGAGAACTGCCTGGTCTACAAGAAGCAAGGGCATCCTGACGTGGTCTGCGCGATTCCGAGGCGCCTTGAGATGGCCCAGGAAAAGGGACTACTCATTGTGGCCCATGCCACGCATAAGCTCAAAGACTTCTTCTTCTTTTTGATCCAGAGCGAGTATGGGGACCTCTACAAGGTGACGTTGACGCATGATGAGGACCTTGTCTCAGAGGTCCAGGTCAAGTACTTTGACACCGTGCCGCTCTCCAATGCGCTCTGCGTTCTCAAGACTGGCTTCCTTTTTGCTGCAGCTGAGTTCGGCAACCATGCCCTGTATCAGTTCCAGGGTATTGGCACGGACGAAGAGGATCCGATGTGCACATCTTCGCATCCTCACGGGGCACAGGCACTCGTTGCCTTCAAGCCGCGAGCGCTCAAGAACTTGATGCTCTACGATGAGATGCCTTCTCTGTCTCCTGTGATCGACATGAAGGTTTTGGATGCCACGGGTGAGGGCAAGCCGCAGCTCTATGCCATGTGTGGCCGAGGTCCACGAGCCTCTTTGAGAGTTCTTCGGCATGGCTTGGCAGTGACTGAGATGGCCGTGAGTGAGCTACCGGGAAAGCCGAATGCAGTTTGGACCGTGAAGGTGCGCACAAGAAGACAGGGAAGTTGTGACTTCTCTTGCATAGAGTTTGTTGTTTAGGAGATTAAATGACAACATGTCAGGCCACCATGGACAGCGAGTATGACCGATACATTGTGGTGTCCTTCGTAGACGTAACTCTCGTGCTGTCCATTGGTGACACAGTGGAGGAGGCTGCAGCCTAAGAAGAGACATCAACCTGTAAATGGACCACGCATCTCATGGCTTTGTCGCAGCTGTGTCGAAGACTTTCAGCTTGACATGTGATCACAGCCATTCCTGGCAATCTAGAGTGTCTGGAATTTCGTTTGGTGTTGAGGTTCTGGACAGTGGCTTTCTTGCCACAGCTCCCTCTTTGCTCATCCAGTTGATGGCAGATGATTCTTACGTGCAGGTGTTTTTCTGTTTCTTATCTATCAAAGACGGAAAGCTTGAGTGGCGAGGTGCACCCTACGGGCATCCGCCACTTGTTGCCACGGAGAACAAACGAGCCCGGTTCTCAGTGAACCCTGACATGGCCAGGCAGTCAAGCTCTATCTCAACTTGAGGTGGAGGGTGCCTGGTCAGAAGCGCATCGTAACAGCTGCTGCGAACGAGCGACAGGCACGAGAATCGCGAAGAAAGACTGTTGCTGCTTGCTGTGCATTTGTCACCAACCGCATGCTCCTCCAGGTTGTCATTGCATTGTCTGGTGGCGAAATCTTGTATTTCGAGATTGACGAGAGCCACACTCTCAACGAGGTCGCTGTGTTGCCCATTGATGCTCATTAAGCCCATCTCCATGCAAAGAGGGCTCCTGTGAAGGTGGCTAAGCGTGACATGAACTACGAGGTCCTATGCATTGCAGTAGGGCTCCAAGTCTCAGTGCCTTTTAGATGCTGGCATCTCGCCAGCTAGCGTCACGAGGTGCAGCCCGTCCCGGACAACCGGCAGCGCGCATCTTTCATGGCTGTTGGAGGTGTCGCACTCGCCAGCAGCCATGAACTTGCGAGTTGAGGTGTGGTGTAACACTGGTGTAGCTCTTGCATGCTGCAAGGCATTTCCGGCTCAGCTGGTCCTAGTAGAATTATGATCAGCTTGTCCAAGGGGCAGACGTTGATGGGTTTACATGAGATTTTGCAGGTTTGCAGCTTGAAATGAGGCCTGCATAGTCAGCTGCAACAACGCTTGCTTGTAAATGCCATTTCACATGCGCTCCCGTGACTTGCCGCAGCTACATGGCATAGCGCCGCAGCCGGTTTCTGAAGCCAGAAGGTCTGTCCAGTGGGAAGATAGGTTTTTAGAGACAGATGGCTGGGAAGGCTACGAAGACTTGGCTGCAGATGCTGCTGATCCCAAATGGTGGCATGTATCCGATGAGAAGATTGCGGCGCTGATTGCCCAGCAGCAGGGAGGGCTGCATGAAACGCGAAGGCCTAGCACACTTCTACAGGCAGGGCTTGTCGAGATGGAGCTGGCCGAGGAGTCTGTGGATGACATGGGTCAGGTTGATGAGCCTGAGAAGCCTCCGGTACAACCTCCAAAGTCCAAAACCTGGTTGGTGCCAGATGATGCGATACTGAAACTCATCCAGGAAATGGAAGCAAAGCAGCATTCTGCACATTCTGCTCTATCTCAAACTGGAGCAGAGCTTCTCAGCATGACTTCTCCAAGGGCCAGGCCCAGCCCGAAGACGCGGGACATTTGCCACTTGGCCCGGCTTAGCTCTTGATGGATAGCGGGTTTTTAAATATGGACTACAGACTCAACTTCTGAACCGAATTTATTCCTCTGACAGGTGTGCGTGTGCTCTGGGTGGGAACCGGCGAAACGCTGTCACTGCGAGTGCCTCCAGACCTGCCAATCGATCCAAAGCCGGCAGTCGCTGCGCAACTTGCAGAGTCCTTGGGTCGAATTTTTGCTGGTCCCTTCTAGGTTTCCTTTTGCAGTGATGCCATGGGCCCATATGTTGGCAGATGGTATTTGATGCAAGGCTCCCTCAGCGTGGAAGCTCTCACGTGCCCAGCCGTGCCAGCCTCGCACTGCAGCGACTGCTGCCGGAATCCTCCGCAACAGGGCAGAGCAGCCGGCTGCGGAGGCTGGGAGACGGGGCAAGACATTACATGTGGCTTTGCGCTTTATCTGCGCCTGCTCAGGAACAAACCAGGCCACGGGACTTCATTGAAGGGGATGATCGAGTCCATCATTGGCGTTCCGCCCAACCAACAAAAACTGTTTCTGGTTTGCCAGAAGAAGCTGTATAATCACTCTGACTTGTTCTCATGATGGATCGCCCATTTTGCGCGTATCAGCTGAGGGTCCATGACAAGCATCTTTGCAGACCTGGAGCAACATTGCAGGAGAGTGTGCTACTTGTAAAGATTTTAGAATTTGACATGATGAAATGCAGGAAATTGGCGTGGCTGATGGGGACCAAGTGACCTTGGTGGTCCCTAGGCTTCCTCAGCATCCCGAGTCAGAGGTGGGGACATGTTCAGCTGCCGTACCTTTGCATGTGCTAAGCTCCGAGCTGTGTATTTCACATGTTGAGTTCGCAGGAGGCAGCTGGTCGACCTGATGTCAGTCGAGGTGTTGTATTTGACTGCAATGCGAAAAAAGTCGGCACCCTGGAACTCCTGAGGCATAACTCGGTCTGCTGGCCGCAACTTTCGAGTTGTCCATCCCTGGCGGTCCCTCTCGCCAGCAATGAGCACGATATGGATGCGTCAAGCGGAAGCTAGCATGGCTTTTCCTGCTCAGGTGGGGCCAAGAGAAGCCGGCTAAGAAGGATGCCATGAGTTTTGCGTCCAACGACTCCTGGCTTGCAATTTGTCATTTAGAGGTCGTTTACATTTTTCCATTCATGACACGCTTCTGGTGAGGACATTCACCTGCCAAATGCGGATGACAAGTCATTGTTCAAGCTTCGTGAAAAGCTTGGGCTGTTTGGCTTCAAAGGGCGAACATAAGTTTGTGTGGCCCGTCCATGTCCAGAAGAGCTGGAAGTTTGGCGGCCAAGAGCTAATGCACACGGTGGTCCAACCAAGCGGGCTGAAGATCAGCAGGAGCTTGAACTTGAGGGTCATCAGTCTGGACCGTTCTTGGTTTGCGGAGCGGGTCCATTAGCGTTTTCTTGGAAAAAATGTTTAGTTGCATGCCCACCCCAATAGCTTTGAACGGTGATCATATGCTGCGCTCAGTTTTTCCGCAGGTGTGGACAACACCATTCGAATCCTGTCGCTGGAGCGTGAGAGGCCCCTGAAGCAGCTCAGTGCCCAAGCCACGACCCCAGAATTGGCGTCAGCAACGTCGCACATCTTGCCGCAATTGGTGATTAGGGCTCTGGTGAACCTGGGTGACTCTGAAACCAACAAGTTTCGAGACACAGCTGGCAGCCTGTTCCCCCGAGGACGACAGGAAAAACAACTTCCGCTCAACTACTGTAAAGCCCGTTTTTTCTTTCAGCGAGACCATCAATCAGCAAAGTTCATTGCTCCTAGTCAATCAAGAGTGGAAGTAAGCCTCCGACTGTTTGTTGAATTAATCATGATCCTAAGGCAGACCCGAGATTTCTAATAGCCTCTAGCCGTTTAACAAAACCAAGCTTGAGCGACCTTCCGTCAAAGCTGAGGCTTTGCAATCACCTGCTGAAAGCGTTTGCCTCCTGGAGATGAAGAACCTGGGACAAGCTGAGGCTCCCAAAGAAGGCGAAGCTGACTCTGATTTTTCATTCCGTGCCTGCGGACAGGATGTCCATAGCTTGTTCCTCAGCATCGGTCTCAGCCGCGGGCCCAGCTCTTGATCCCAAGCATCCTCTACGCTGAACTCGGCATCCGCGCAGGTAGCGGCATCCTCATCCGGTCTGTGGTTGACTTTGCCAGGCTCTCAGGTCTCAGGTCTCTAAGGCATATGCCTGCATTTCGTCAAATTGTCCTTCCTGTGTGGGAAGGTCACTGGTACGCTGAGCGATCAGCGATCCCGGTTTTTGGGGGCCAAAGCCGTGCGACTGCACAAGGCCTGGCATGCCTGTCTAGCTGCCTTGCACATACGACCTTCTGACAAGGTGGAAGCTCTTAACAATTATTCATTGAGAAGTGAAAAGGACATGTTTTGCCAAAAATCTGAGAGGTCTCAGTCCAGGGAATGCGGCGGCCTGAGCCAACGCCTGCCATAGCAAACGACAGCAGAGATAGATTGACATTTCTCAGGCCAGCGATGCTTGCTTTGAGCACAAAGCCGTGGCTCTCTTACAATTTCCAGGGCAAGAACCATTGTGCCTGGCCCAGCCACTTCTCAATCTGCGCATCTAATCTAGGCAGTGTGTTGCATCTGAGGCACCCCTATGAGCTATGAGCAGTTGGAGTTCGCTTCCTCCTTTGCATCAGAACAATGCCCAGAAGGCATGAGAGATCGTTGTGCCGTGTCGTGCTTATGCAGAGTCTTTGCATGCGCGGTAAGCGGCTGTTCTTGTTCCCCCAAAAACCTAAGCGCCAAACCAAGCGCACCCACTCGGGCTAAAGTTAAAACATGAAGCTGGTGAACAAAGACCAGTTCGGATCCGGCGAGGATCCGAGCAATTGGCCGGCATCATCCCGCATCTGTGGCGGATGTGGACGACAACAATCAAAGTGTCCTGTTTTACGCAGCTTCACACGGCAAAATGACAATGGTCAAATTTTTGATCAAACATAAGCTTCGAGATAAACTTCCAAGACGACTGGCAGAAAAAAAACTTTGGAATGCCAGCGCAAGAGCTCCAACCTTAAAGACGGAAATGATCGCCATAAACCCAACGTGAAACGCTTAACCTCAAATTCATGCCAAGCAAAAATTGAATACGCCTTAAACAACAAAGCCAATTTGCTGAACTCAAAATCTCACGGTGCCCAAATTCAAAAACCCGGAAGCCTCATGCCCTAAGCTAAACTGTAACCCAACCTAATCCCAAACTCCACAACTTCGGAAATCCTGACCCATCAGCCTCAACCCTAGAAGTGACACTGCTGGAATCCCAAGAAACCCAGCCTTCAGCCAAAATCCGATACCCCAAGCCCTAGAGTCCGAGCCCCTAAGCATTGAAATTATGAAGCCACACACGCGGGTCTTGCGCGTGTAATGTGAAAGGGTGTAGGGGGGATTTTGCTTGAAGTCCGGGGAAGTTTTTTTTGACTGGACTGACTTAAGAAGCCAAGCAACAGCTTGAAACAAAATCGCAAGCGTACAGGAAAAAATATCACGTCCTTGCTCATGTGGATGGGTGACTCTCCATTGGACCTGCAGGTTTTGTTGCAATCTCTGGCAACACTCTGCGCAAAGCACCCAGAGTGTGAAAGCTGGCATGACGTAGTGATGAGTTCCATCAATTCAGAAAAATGTTTTGCCGAGGCATTCTGGCCTGTGAGAGACTGGGTGAGCTCTTCAACCAGACAGCAGTGCACTCAGCTGGTCGTTCTTTTGTGCTTGGTAGATGCAGGCATAGAAGCAATGAGAAACCCAGTAGCCAAGAGCAGTGCATGAAGGTTATGAACTTGTCCTACACTCCTCGACGCTTTGTGCCGCTTCCTCCCGCCGTCCTGCCACCGCCTGGGCAGCCAACCACCGATCCCATTATGCACGGAACCCAGCAAGCTTTATTGCGCAGTGCGATGCTGCAACATCAGAGCCACATCATTCGTGCTAAGGTTGGCGATCTTGGAAGCGGACCACAACGCGTATAACGAGGTGGGGGGGCGCAAAGTTTGAGTCGCTTGCAAGCCATGATTTGTTCAGGAGACGAAGCGAGAGATCAGAGCAGCGCTGAAGAAGATCCGTCTGGTACCAAGACAAGCACCGATTCTGAGGGCTCATCTTTTTGGCCCCGTCCCATACCCTCAAATGTCTAGGTTCGCCCACGCATCATGCGGTTTAAGGGCTAAGGATTTTTTTTAGGGCTTAGGGAGTGTCCAGGGATCAGGGTTTTTTTAGGGTTAAGGGCGAAGGGTTTTTAGGGTTTAGGCTGTATTAGGTCTAGAATTTGCTAGGGTTTCGGGTGTTTGGGGTTAACGTGTGTTTTAGGACTAAGGTAGTATTGGATGTTAAAGTTCTCCGCGTTTTTAGAGTTTAGGGTATAGGTTTTAAAAGGGGTGTTAAGGGTTTGGGGCTTTTCAGCTTATGACTTTTTAGGGTTTAGGGGTTCTTAGGGTTTAGGCTTAGGGTTTATAAATACATAAGGTTTTTTTTTAAGGGTTTAGGGGGATGTTTACAGTTTAGGGGGCTTTAGGGTTTGGGGGGTTTGTAGGGTTCATTTTTTAAGGGTTTCGGGCCTTTTTAGAGCTTATTTTTAAGGTTAGGGCTTAGGGTTTTTTAGCGCTCAGGTTTTTTTAAGGTCTAGGACTTTTTAGGGCATCAGTGTTTTTAAGGTTTAGGTTTTTTTTAGTGTTCAGGCTTTTTTGGTCTAGGTTTTATTTGCTTGTTGGGGTTCAGGGTTTTTTTTAGGATTAATTGTGGGTTTTTCGGGTTGAGGGTTTTGGGATTTGCAGGGTTTAGGGGAGGGTTTAGGGTTTTCTAGGGGTTGCTAGTTTTTTGGCATAAAGCCTGGAATTCCGGCCCCCCAAAAAGGTATGAGAGGGTCGACGATTGCGACTTGGTTTTGTAACGTGGTTCCGCGGACGCTGTCGGGATAGCGAGCTATGTGGATGTAGCAAAAACTGGCTGGGGCCAGGGATTTGAGCTTCATGACATAGTCTGTGCCCTGAGGCGCGGGCAAACCAAAACTTGGGACGGTTCCGTTAGGGCAACATTAGGACGTCTTGCAAGCACCCATTTTTGAGTTGACAAACTGTACAGCAAGTCTGTGAGTTACAAGGCAGTCACAATTTTTCATGGCCAGGCCTGACAAAAACGGTGGACGATGAGCTTGATGATGTGAAGGATGAGGATGACGAGGAGGATCTTCCAGAAGCGCAGGCCAGCTCTAGTTTCCTGATTGCTGTGTTGTCTCACCTGCATTGATGGCTTTCAGGTCGGTACCTTCAAGGCCGGTGAAGGCAAATGGGGGTCCTGCGTGCGAATCGTTAGCTTCTCAACTGGCGGAAATCATCCTTGCATTGCCACAGCGAGCGGTAAAACGGCCAAGGTCAATCCATCCAACTTGCTGCCGGTGTTCAAGCTCGATCTAGACATCGATGAGGCGGGCAACTAAGAATGTCTGGCAACTCAGATCATTCAGGTACAGGTTCTCTACGTTTTGCTTCCAGGCTGCGCTGTGCTTGACAGTTTGCTACTTCTCTCAGCTGGCCAACCAGTCTGCAACTAAGTGACGCAAGAAGAAAGTGTTCTGTCTGCTCCTCTTTCAAAGAGAGGAACTTCAGATTTGACTCTACACTTGCTAAGGCCTTGCTTGGTTGTCGGAACTGTATACAACATGACGATGAGCTGGCATGTTTACTCTGTTGACATTTACCGTGTTTGCAACAATAGCTGCTGAATCTTGCGAAGGTGCGCAGCTTGACAGAGCTTGAAATGAGCCAGGTTGTACCCGCGACATGCACCCAAGGCTACCATCAAAACATACATGTACGATGAGCTGGCGCCCTACATTGTTGCAATACGAGACATTCGGTTGCCGCGCGCATGCCATTTACACATCGTCTCAGGCGCTACCATCTCCAACTCATTCACTCTACCCCGCTTGATGTTTCGCCCTCAGCTCTGGAGCAGTGAGGGTCATGGATGCGGCGGTTGTGCCAAGGATGTGCCGCTTTGTCTCTTCCCGTTCGAAGGCATTCTACAGAGTGGTATACTGCATTTTAGGCACAGCACCTAGTGGACAGAGCTTCAGCAAGGCCGTCTTCTGGCCAGCGTCGGAAAGTGCCTGCGGATTTATGAGCTGGGCAAGCGCAAGTTGCCGCCTTCTTATCCACGAAGGGGGGTTGCCAACCTGGATTAGCATCCGAGCATTTGTTCCTGGCATGTGACAAAGGTTGCGGAAGTGCGAGTACAAGAACATTCCTGAAGGTCTGATGTGGATGCTTGCGCCTCAAGCCTTGAGCTGCCGGCCACCGATTCAGAAAAATCTAGGGGCACTTATCAGGAGCCAACGCCCTTGTCATTCAGAAGCTGCGCAAGGTAAGAATCGATGTCTGGTATTATACAGGACAATTTGGACTGCGAAAGTCAGCTGCAGCATAGGCATGCGAGAATCACCAAACCCCCGGCGTCTCGTGACAATCAACACCTCAGAAAGGAACCCGCATAAATTGTTGTGAATGAGGCCTCCGGGCCTCAAGAACAGTATGTCATGAGGACTTCATCCAAGGTACTTCTGGCCTTGTACGATACGTTTACAAGCACGACTGATAATGTTGGGATCAAGGATTTTTTTGCCGAATTTCAGGGATGCCCTTCAGAGATACCTAGCAAGGTCTAGACAGGATACCTTGAGAATGCTTGGTAGAAAGGACAGTTGCAATAGGACACTAGGTAGGCTTTGCGTTATCACGATCGAAACTTCAGATACTTTGGCTACTGTGCTGTGTTTTTAAACATCTGTGAAGACTTCCGAGACCATCAGTTCTGATTTCGCTCTCTTCGTCTTGTCTTTGCGTCCTCCGTTGTAGTCTGTGAATCTGTTTGTCTTCGAAACAAACTTTCAGTTTTCACTAATCTGCATTCTCTTGTGCAAAATTCTCACCTTATTGCTGATGTATCTGTAACATGAATGAGTATTGAACACCATTGGTGACGCACGGAAGTCTAGGCCAGGAGGTGATTGAAGCGTCGATGCTGCTGTTGTCTCTTGCTCTGCTCGTGTTGCAAGGCACGTTAAGGGGGACAAGATCTTCACGGCTGACTTGCGCGAGTCCTTCCACATCTTCAAGTGCCACAGTTGCACTGTCAGCAGTGTGGTTTTTTTGTACTTGAGTTGGCAAAGAAGTAGCTTGATGTAGTCGCATTGTATGGCACATGTCGTGGTCCTTGAGCCTTCTACAGTGCACTAAAGTTGGCATGAAGCTGTTCAGACTGAAGCCTGCTGAAGAGGTATCGTCGATCAGACAATCAGCTTTTCGTCCTTGCTGATGACCAAGCTCCAAGATGGACGCCTCAGCCTCGATGATTACATGGTGTGAGTGAACCATTGTCAGACCATCGGCAGTCTTTCTCTTCCGCTGTTGTCATCACTTGCTCCTTTGAAGCAATGGGGCTTCTGAGGACCTGCGCAACTGTTCTGGACAGTATGACCATGGCAGGCCAAGTGCAGTCTCTGTGGCATTGTTCAGATCCAGAAGCATTTTTGAAGATGGTGCAGGCGCCGACAAGTTTGACAACTTCTTCATCAGCAGAATACCAGACGAGGTTCGCGCTGCACAAATGGCAAAGGGAAGGGTTGGACGGTTCCATCTATGAAGAGCAGCTTTCCTTTTTCAATTTGTTGATGCAAGGCTCGCGATGACGAAGGTTCTGTTCTGAGCGTTGAGTAGTTGCCAGTGCTGACAGTGAGCGATAGCTGCTGTTGACGGGCCACGATCAGAGACGAGTGAACAGCATGAGATGGCATGGATGCAACACCCTGAAGCTTAGGTGGCGACCACACTGGCCTTCGCTTGAAGGCACTGGAAAGTCAAAATGACATTTCGGACATGTTTCCAAGCTGCTGAATGACATTTGAGAAAGGCTGACACAGCCTACCTCACCGGCGCGACGCCAAAGCTGGACAACATCGTGCAGTTCCATGTCGGTCGCGATCTCATCGCCATTTGGAAAGGCAATGCGCCTTACGCACGCTCCCGGACCTGCAGGTGATACGGTGACCGCCCTCGAGAAGACCACGCTGGCACAGGGTGGAAGCGAACTGATTTGCTACTCCACACTCCTAGGCGGGGGAGTGGGTTGCCAGTAGCAAAACAGACTACTTGCTGGTTGATGCAGATGTGGACGCTTCCAAATCTTTCAGCAGGTGCGATTGGTGCCTTCTATCCTTTTGCTGGGAAGGATGAGGCCTGCCGTCACGCATTGTTTCGTCGTCAGCCTGATGCCGGACATTGTAAGTGCTTGTATTGCTGGGTGCATTTTGATATTGATGGCAGTTGGACTTCTTCCAGCACTTGGAAATGTTTGTGCGGGCAGAGAAGCCTCCTTTGTGCGGAAGGGACCACATCATGTGCCCGCGAGCAGAGCCTTGTGCTGTAGAGTGTCTGATGTTCGGCACATGGCCAGGTACCGTTCCTACCACTTTCCAGTGCAGAGTTGCCCTGACCCAAGATCAACGCACCTGTTAGGTTCATGTAGCAAGGTATCTGCCTGATTCTTAAAGGGGAGTTAGCAGCCGCCGCAGCCGCCACAGCAGCCAGGAAGCAAGGTCAAGGATGGAGCAGTTCAGAGGCTAAGATTCACCAAGCAGATGAGCAAGAGATGGAGCGGGATCCAGCTTCCTGGAAGTCGAAAGAACTCTGCTTCTGCTCCTTGAGCACCCTGGCAGACGTTGGATCTGCGAGAATAAGCCTTCAGGCGTTGATGGGGACCTGTGCGAGCAGTTTATGACGCTCACAGCTGAGAAGCTCTTGCCTCAGGACTTGGCCATGCGTCGCAGCAGGTGTAGCAGAGTGGCAAGCTGCAATAACGATACTGAATCAGGCAGAGACTGATTGCTAGCGAGTTGGACCGGACACCAGCAGAGATCATCAAGAAGCTGGAGGATATGACATTCTTTTTGACATCTTTCATATTGGCCTGTGGTCTCCTTCATTTCTGGGCAGTGTCATGACATCAGGATATGCGCAATCGGCTGATCTGAGAAGGGCTCTTGCATCCCGTGAATCATGTCACAGCTCCGATTGATCTATCACAGCAAGCAGATGTTCATTTGGCGGCAGTTGAAGATACTACGTGCAGTGTAGCGTTGTAAATACCGTTTATGCAAATTGAAGTTTGAGCTATCAAACCGCCAACCAACCCGAAAAGGGACGAGTTTTGGGCTTACAAGTAGAGGTGTTGCAAGTTAACAGCAGCTTCGATCTTCGATTGAAGATTTGCCTCCTGCCGTGCGTTTGGTGAGCCACTGGCCCTAGAAGCGTGCTGCTCAGGGCAAAGCTTGACATGACCCGAGAAACAGTCATGATTGACTTCTCGACTGCAAACTTGTTTCTTTAAGCAAGCGAGAAAAAGGAATTCAGGAACAGCATGGGTGTCACATGTGATGCCATGGTTTAATGTACAAGCGCCATTGGTGGCGCGTGCCAGTGCTGACTTGTTTGGCCAGTCTCCCTGGTTTTACATTTGAAAATCCTTTGCTTGTGAAGCTTGCGCTATCCTGGCATGATTCGCACCGTTCCGCCTCTGCCGCGGAGAGGGAGTGAGCCGAAAGCGGACCATGCTATTTCTAATGGAGCTGGCTCCCTAAAGGTGAACGGCTCTAAGAAAGTCAGCCTGAAAGAGGTAGAGTCTGGCGGACGTGGTCTCGAAACAGGGGCGCTTGTTTGGGTGTCCGATGCTTCCAAAGTATGGGCCGCGGGTGAGGTCACTCATAGTGAAAGCTGCCATGTAATCGTGAAGCTGGACTCTGAAGACCCGATTGAGGATGACCAGCATGTCAATGTCCCACATACCGGTGCCAGTGTACGATTGCTGCGGCGAGATACGACTATTCTGAACACTGCTGCGCTATCATACGATGACCTGACAAACGTGCCAGAGCTGCACGAGGCTGCACTTTTGCAGGCCATTGACGACAGATTCCAGCATGGTCGTATCTATACATTGACGGGTCCTGTGCTTCTGGCTGTGAATCCCTTCCGACACATGCCTGGCCTTTACTCACCGGAGATGCTTCGCAGCTTCATGAATGCACAAAAGCTGCAACCTCACATCTTCAGCATTGCCAATCGTGCGTATCAAGGCCAGCATGTGCATGTTACTTTAGCAGCGTTCACTAGGTGTTCATCTGGATTTAGTGACATGCAGGGCGAGCAGTCAATGTGACAGCAGATGTTGTTTGCTCTGTGGGTTACCTCTTGCAGGCATTCTTGATGACGATGAATCTCAGACCGTGCTTGTCAGCGGAGAGAGCGGCGCTGGCAAGACGGAAACAACAAAGTTTGTGATGCACTTCTTGGCTTTGACTGGCGCTGAGGCTGTGGTCTCTGAGGGTGAGAAACCATTGTCACGAGTTGAGCGACAAGTACTTCGGTCAAATCCGCTGCTGGAAGCATTTGGAAATGCCCAAACGCTGCGAAATCACAATTCGTCAAGATTTGGCAAGTACATTGAGTTGCAGTTTGGTTTCGAAGATGGATCACACTCATTGAAGCGTTTGGTGGGGACCAGAATTCGCACCTACCTTCTGGAGACGGTTCGTGTCATCGACCACCAGCAGGGAGAAAGGAGCTTTCACATTTTCTATCAGATTCTGGCAGGGGCATCGCTACCTGAGTTGGATGGCGTGAGGAAGCACCTGGATAGCATTGAAGGTGCCTCCACTTTCAAGAACCTTGGCAACTCAGCCTGCTCAGAACTTCTGGATGATGCAGAAGACTTTCAGGCTACCCTCGCTGCCATGCAGACGATGGGATTTCACATGAGTGAAATTACTGACGTGATCCGAGCAGTTCTTGCAGTACTGCACGTGGGTAACATTTGCTTCGCAGTTCCTGCCAAGCACCTTGTCCTGAGGAGCAGTTATGTGCGGTCGCCTCGTGCAGCCGGTACTCGCATCATGTGAATGTTCAGTCCTGTGACAAGGAACAGCGAAGCATCGGAGGTGCTCAAGTCGGAGGATGCAGCAAACGAGCCTCTGCAGTTGAGCTCCGAGCTCTTGGGTCTTCCGCAAGCACAGCTTGCAGAAGTCCTCTGCAACCGCACGATGCAGGCACCTGGTGAACAGGTCATTCGAATGGCGAACACATTGCAGCAGGCAGGGCTTTGAAGCAAAATCTTAGCAACCTACCCCTGGCAAGCCTCAGGCCGCGGAGTGCAGAGATGCCTTGGCAAGGCATCTCTACCATGCGGTCTTCTCCCACATTGTGGAGAAAACAAATGCATCCATCGGCTTCAAGTCAGAGGCTACCTTCTGCGGAGTGCCAGAGCCCCAGGATGGCGAAGTGTAGCGGATGTGGCGGAGTGTAGCGTGTCAGCTTCATCAATGCAGTGCCAGGGCTTCGGTTTTCTAGTGTTTTCTAGCAAGATGTTGGTCACGAGGTCTCGTTTTAGTAAGGAAGACCCTGACAGTCACTTGTGTATGCAGGCAGCGGGGTGTCAGCTTTGCACAGGCTGGATATCTTCGGCTTCGAGTTCTTCAAGGTCAACTCCTTCGAGCAGTTCCGAACTTGGGACCTGTATACCTGTGCATCCCCAAATAACCATATAACCCCACAAAAACGTCATGCTCCCCCCTGACAGTCCATGAGGCTTTGCATCAACTTCACCAATGAGCTGCTGCAGCAGTATTTCAATGGCTTCATTTTCGAAAACGAGACCGCGCTCTATCGAGAAGAAGGTGTGTCACGTGCCAAGCTGGATTTGAGATATCCACGTCTTTTTCTCCTGATTACCATCCGCTGTGTTTCCAAGGCCTTGGCAGAATGAAGACTTCCCGGACAATGCTGGAATTGTAAAGCTTCTGCAGCAGCTGGCTCAGCCTTGTCCAACTCATGCCTTGGTTCATAGCAGCAGCCAGCACTTCCTCAATGGATTTGCTTGGACAGATCTGGCTGGCATCAAGGTCATCGCCTTCTGGGATATTCCCAATGCTGGATGAGGAGAATGCGTACACGTGTCTGTATGCTTCCATCCGTCAGTCGAACAGTTTTCGGAACAAGATTCGTCACCGCTGTGCGTCACCGCTCTGCGTCGCCAGCGCGTCTTTGCAAGGGTGAATGCTGTGACTTGGTGAGTATGCATGTGTTCAAAGAGCCTTGCAATTATGCCCCTTGTCCTTCTGTGTCTTTCTGCATAGCAGCTTCAATCTAGCAAAAGGTGAAGAGTCACTGGACATGGACCGTGGACAGAGATGGATGCAGTTCAGCAGGGGGCTGGTAGGGTGGCACAGGGGCTGATTTTGGTCGTCGTGAAAGAGGCCATTCTATCATTTTCGTCAAGAGGCGATTGAATGCCAAGTGTGCCGCTGCCGACCGCCATTTGGAAAACTTGAGAGACATTTGCGTTCTCGGGAAACCTGCATCAGCAGTGAAAAGCTTTTTGACGAGGAGTGCTTCGTGATTGGCGGCACTTCTGGCAGCTGGCACAGGAAGCTCATACAGATGTCGGCACCCTGGTGCTGAAACAAACTCCCCCGGCCACGGCAACATGTCATACTGCCAAGGCACCAGAACCACCAGGCTTTTGGAGTTGTGAAGTTGCAGAACTCTACCTTCATTGCTGCTGCCTTGGAGTAGGGAAGCCATCTTCATAGCTGGAGCTCTTGACATGTGAAATCATGTGAAAAAGCAGGTGAAGCACTTTGCGGGCCCAGTGACCTACACCGCCTTGAGCTGAGCCTGCTTTCTTTGCCAAGTGAAGATCGGTGTAAACATCCACGGGCATGCAGGCAGATGGGTTCCTGGAGAAAAATCGAGACCGCTCCTAAGTTGAAGCGGCTGGTGCCAATGATGCCAGTAGAAGACTTGGAACTTCCAGAATGTCCGAGGACCGGTTGTCCAACGATCTTTTGCGGTGTCTGGCCAGCAGTGCCGCTTGCCGAGATTTGCCGAGCGTGCCAGAGATCACCAAAAGATCGTAAGCCGGTGCAGCCGCAAGGAGTGGCCTTTCCTTCGTAGCTGCTTCAGAGATACAAGTGGTACAAGCGCTGACCAGACGCCATGTCGCTGATAACTCAGACTGTCTTGAAGTGTCCATGAAGATTGAGTACGATTTTGCCTCAGGTTCGCCGCCCCCCGTTCGTGCCTCTTTGTCAGGCAGCCCGAAGGCTGCGAAGGCCGCATCAGAGATCTCTCTGACTTTTCGCAACGTTGCAACGCCGAAGGTGCGCGCACATCGCTCGACGGTTTCTTCAGAGTTCCGGCAGCAGCTGCAGGCGTACGCTTGAAGATTAGAATGCTTGATCTGTTTATCTCAAGCATTCTCAAGTGTCATGGGCCCTGGTCCTGCGTGAAGGATCTCATGGCACAGATCCGCACCACGACACCGCATTTTGTGCCTACCTCAGCAGGGTCGACAGCCGCATCAGACCCATGTATAGGATGAGAGTTGTAGCTACAGTGGCCTGCAGGTGCGCTGTATCAAGCCCAACCCAGAGAACCGTGCGTTCGTGGATGCTGCAGTCCCTGATCCACGTCCCCTGTTCGACAGGCACTCTCTGCTGTTGAATCGGAGAACTAAGAACTAAGATGCAAAGCAAGGGCCGCATGTGCTGAGGGTACTGCAGCAGAAATCAGCTTCGCCCAAGGATGCCCCAAACAGATTAGCTACATGTGCTCTTGACGGCCATCAGCGTCTGCTGTTGCGCGAAGGGTCTTTGAGCGTAAAACTGCAGTGCTCCGACGCGCCGGGTGCGGGCGAAAGAGCGGGTTCGAAAAAAAGGATACTAAGATTAGGATGCATAGTTCAGTCGGATGAATGATGAATGCTAAAAGCAGCATTCAATATCTCCTGCCTGGCAGTTACTGTACGACAAGAGACTGCCCAAGAAAGAAAACTGAGGGTAGCCATGAAACAGGAAGCTGACATGCAGCATGAATGCTTGCAGAATGACAAGAGGTGCCGCATGGTATGTGCTGTCGCAAAGACTCTCAGGATTTCCAGCTAAGCGAGTCTGCGGCTCCAGAAAACGAGATGAGTCATTAGGATCGTGGCAACCCCTGGAAGTCCCATACTAGTCAGTGTGCCATTTGCGACAACAGAGGGTCAGGCAACACGTGGCTTCCGAAATGATCATTTAGGCTGAAAGCCGCCTGCTAAAGCATCTTGCTCGTTTTGTGATTTTTCTTTGGCCTGCGTGCGGATTTGTTAAGGCGGAACTTCACATGGGGCTTCTCCAGGTTTATGGCTTTATCGGTGTTCAGGTCCAGCGCTTCAGGGGTTTCAGCATGAACTTTTTAAGCTTCCAGATGTGGAAGGTATATGGTTGTATTTTTTCTGTGTGTCAAACGTTTTTGTGTGACTTAGGGTCCTTCAGGATTTTGTGATTTTTTGGGATGTAGTTGCTGATTGTTGGAATCAGAAGCTTGATGATTTAGCTTTTTTTGCTGCTATAGCGCTTGGGGTTTAAGGTTTATTTGGGCTTTAGTTTCAGGCTTTCAGGGTTCTTTTTCGTGGCTTTTCGGTTTAATGTATTAGGGTGTAAGGTTTTCAAGATCTGGTTTTTCGTATTCTTTGTCTCACGGCAATCTGGTTTTAGGGTTGGGGATTCAGGAATTGGGGCTAGGGTGTGATTCTGAGGGTTGTCAGGATCTGTAAGTTTTTGGGAATTGAGGCTTGTAGGGTTGAAGGTTTGAGGATCAACTAAGGACCTATGTTACCGTGTTGTCGTTTAAGGAGTTTTTCAAGTTTTGGCTTTCAAGACTTGGGCTTCGTAGGATTCCAGTTTCCAGGGGTTTCGACGAGGGGCTACGCTTTTCAGTCGTGGCGGCTCGCTAACTGAGGAAAAGAAAAGTAAACCCTTTCTGGAGATCTTTCGAACTGCAACTCATCGGCAGATGAGGGCATGCTGAAATTTGGGGTCTTGGGTCTTGGCGCTTGGCAAACTGGCTAGTACCCAAAGCTGCTATGACTTTTTTGGAGAATCGTTTGCCCGTGCTGGGCACAGGTCAGGCATTTCCACCACTATGCTGCTTCTGTGTAATCGACGACAACGCCAACTTCACAAAGACCACCAACAACACGAATACCACCAACATCACCATCACGAACACCAACACCCAGGTGGTGGTGGTGGTGGTTGTGGTGGTGGTGGTGGCGGCGGCGGCGGCGGCGGTGGTGGTGGTGGACAGGTAGCAGGTAGTGTAGCATGGAAGAGCAGCCAGCTTGCTTGCGTCCGGCAGCTGGCAGGAAAAACAATCGCAGGCAAACTCCTAGCTTTTGCTTGCCCATTGTTTGCTCACAGGTTTCATTTCACCGTCTTGATTGTGATTGCATTCTGCCTTCTGTGTGCAACAGTAGCTACTCGGATACTTGCATTGCAGGAAATCTGTGGCAGAGCAGCTTCGCTACCAGGGCGCGCTGGTCTCACTTGGAGGTTTTCATCTTTCACTATTCAGATCTCTGTGCAGCCTGAGGTGCTTGAGGCCATACGTGTGGCCAGAGCGGGGTATCCGGTGCGGAGCTTACATTCCAGCTGAAGGCAGTTCTCCGACATCCATTTTGTCACGGAGGTCCGCTATCAACATTTCGATTTCATGGTGGAATTCCGCTGTATTGCACGCAAATCTCTTCAGCTGGAGATGGAGGTTCCATGTCCAGCGTTTCTTTCCTTTTGCGGACCTTTGTTGAAGGACTCTTCCACAGTTGCGCAGGCTGCAATGCGGAAGTACCATGAGGAGGGTCTTGAGGAGAGCTGCCTGGCCCCAGCCATAAACTTCTCATAAGAAGCAGCACAATGCATGCAATACCTGATTTCACAAGGTCACGAGCATTCGGGCCTTTCTCCAGTCAGAGGCCGTGTTGGCCGCCTGTGGAAGTGCAGAGGCAGCTGCTGCTGACCAAAAAGCTAAACTTCTCAAAACAAAAGTAAAGAATGAGTTGTAGCTTCCAGCGGTTTTTTTGTGTAAGACTTGTTTGATGCTGCCGATGCTCAAGTGAGGCTGCCGACATGGCATCCTGACAATTGCTCATGTTTACCTTCTCCGCTAGGGCTTGATGGTGCCAGATCTTCTGAGACCCAAAAGGGCAGCGTATGGGGGAGAGGAGGTTCAGGCAGACTCTGTGTTGAACATGCAGTGACGTGCTGGGCATGCTTTGGAGAATTGATAGATAGACAACAGCTTATCTGGAAAGAACACATGCGCCAAAGCATGAGCACCTCTGAACATTCGATGTCAGGCAGTCGCGGTTGGAAGGACTCGCATCTTCCTCAAGCAGGCTGCAGCGGGGCGGCTGAGGGCTGCGCGCGCAGCTGCCCGAACTGCAGCGGTGCAGCGGCTTCAGGCACTCCACCGTGGCGGCCTCGGCCGGCAGAGGGCATCGCAGCGTCGCTGGGCACTGCTGCGGCTCCAATCCGCCTTCCGCGGAGTCAAAATCCGTCGAACCCTCGCAGCTGAGAGGCGATCTCGTGCTGCCACCAACCTCACAGCCGGATTGCTGACTTTGGCAGCACGGCGGCGGATCTGCTGCGTGCGAAGAGTCTGCATCGCACTGCAAAGTTTGGTGCGGATGCAGACCTGCAGGGATAGATATGCGCAGTTACGCCAAGCAACATGCAGGATCCAGTCCTGGTGGAGATGCTGGCTTCAGCGCCGTAGAATAAGGGAGTTGCCAAAGCACCTGCGCAACATCCAGCGATGCTGGCGTGGCGCAGTTGGCCGGCGGCAGGCAGCTGAGTTTCGGCTTGGGCTGCTGCGTCTCAAACGGGTTTTGCGCCGGCTGGTCCGTGTGCGCCGAGCTACCCTCAAGCATCGGAAGTGGCGACAGAAGGTTATGGCCAGCTACCTTGCTCCTCGCAATTCGCTGCCTCCAGCACAGGCTTCACCACCTGCTACAAAGGCAGACTTACTGCAGAAGCTCCTGCAGCTGGAATCGCAGCATGCATTCCTTGACCGTCAGGCAGCAATCCTGAGGCAAGATCACTTTGAGCTGAAGACAAGCCTCGACGAGGCAAAGACGAACTCTTTCTTGAGGGTCTTCGGCTTGGTTTAAGAGAAGTTTCACCATTGTTTCAACTAGCCCAGTCAGCCAAGCTCTGGGCGGATGGATCTCATATGCTTGGCCAGACAGGAAGGTAGGAGCTTGCAGACGTTGACTGCTCTTGCGTGCTGAGCTGAGACATTGTGTGGCCTACCCACATGCATTTTCATGGTTTCCAGCACGCTGGCTCTGATATTTCAGAGTGTCCCAAAGTGCAAGAGCCATGAACGGAGCCATGGAGTCAGCAGAAGCCCCAATCAAAGCCGAAGCACTTCATCTACATCATCTCTCTGATATGGTGAGGCCAGCTGACAGGCATACCGTCCCCTCCACTTCATGCAGGTGCACAGCTACCGGATACAGGCCGAACCCACAGTCCTGCGTTTGTCCAGGTGGAGAGGATCCAGCTTGATGTCTTCTTGCGGAAGTTGTCGGACTCGAGCGAAAGCGAGGGACTCGCACAGCTTGTTCCTATTTGCAAATATTTGCGCCTACCCTTCTGGCCTGGCTGAGGGTCGAACGAAGAAGCTGAGCCAGTGCGGGGGCCTTCATGCTTCTTCTGAGCAAGCGTCTTCAGAGACATTCGCGTGGAGGACATCGCGCGTGCTTGTTCATTCTAAATCGGCACCTCTGCGCCTTAGCTCAGTTGGCTTGCTTGTTTAGCTGCATGTTCGACCTTGTTCCAGCAATTTATGCTGAGGTCGAGATCCTTCAAATTACGGCATGGCTCTCAGCCCGCTTGGCTTGCTGATGGTGCGAGTCATTATGACTCGAACGGCCTCAGTGAAGGACTGATCCACAGCTGGAGGAACTGAGGAAAAACCTCCGTGCGGAGCCCATGTAGACGTTGTGGACGCTGCATTTGCTAGCGGAATGCCATCAGGCGGCGCAGATTGCCTTCGCTTGACATGATTTGAGAGGCTTGAAGGCAGCTCGCAATTCAGTCCTGCAAGACCCCAAATGCCCAGATCTCAGCTTTAACAGTTGTTTTAGAATGGTAGTGGTGGATAGGCTATGTGCATGTTGGAATCATGTCAGTTGACTGAGGCAGGCTTATGCTTGGTTTGCCACCGTCGCCGGAAACCACAGCTTTTTAAAGACTTTGTGCCAGATTTTGTCGGACGCCTGTTTCTGCTTAGGTCTGCTCTTCCAAAGAATACGCAAAGCGTACATAGTCTTCCTACTATGGCGCAGCGCCTGCCTCTGCATGCTGACTCCCATGTTTCATGAACGTGTATTCAACACAGGGCGGCAAAGATGCGGGTGCATCTGACAAGTTTTGTATCAGCTGTTTCTGGTGGGGTTTCTTGCTGAGACTTCTTTTTCTGAGAGCCATGCCAGGCTGGATCGGGCGAAACACCTCAGTCCAGGACGGCTTCTCTCAGCGCTTGTTTGCTCTGCATACTGCCTCAACCGATGAAGGAAGAAGCAGGAGAAAGAGCGCAAGCCTTCAACAGGTAGTGGGCGCCGTCCTAAGTGGCGGCTAGTACAAGAGGGAAATATGGCTAATTGACTCGCATGCAGTGCGGTTTGCCAAGGCGAAAGAAGGGCAAGAAGAGGGTTTCGTGCTCAGACACTCTAGATTTTGCGATTAGGATCTTGAGAAGTGCGATTTTAGCAAACGCTCAACTTTCCGCGCAATGCACCTGAGACGGTGACGATGCATTTCCAGGCGGACTCGTCTTTGCGTTATTGCCGGCAATCAGCTACCTCATACTATCTTGAAATAGTTGCAAAAATCAAAGTCTCATTAGACTCCTTTCGATATTGCCTTATTCATCTGCAGATGCCTCTGAGCTGTTTGGTGTAGGCAGGTTTGTTCGTTCCCACTCACACATCAGAGCTGCAAGGGACAGGATGGCGCCAAGAATCTTCCAGCAGCGAGTTGGGAGAAGGCCTTTGTACCACGCTTGGTTTTGCTTTCGTAGTTTGCCTTCCGCGACTGACAGGTTGGCTCATTGTGTCCAAGCGTGCAGGAGGCATTGGACAGGTGGGTGACATCCATTCTCTCGCAAGGTGTCCTATCCACCTGTTGCTGTATCTGCAGGTTCTATTCATCAAGTGGCTTCATACCTGAGCACGAGATCAAGAGGCAGGGACCACGAGTCTCTACCTTTTAGACCCCGTGACGCCATCCTCAGAATCTGGTCAACAGCTTTTGTGCTGCCCAGGATGCGGGTATGCTTCCAGAGGTTCTCATCTGAGGATAACGATCTTTACCGTGGACAAGTGCACGAGGCTGCTGTGCCAGGTGGTACCGTGACTTTGCTGAGACAGAATTTTGCAAGGTGCTCACTCATCTTTCTTACATTCCTGTCTCTGAAGACAAGGCCGGCCGGTCTGCTGCAGCACCCTGTAGCTATTTCTATCTGGTGCTTGCATCAACGAACTAATGTTCTCGACATTTGCATGTTCTCTGACCTGCCATACATGGAAGGGTAAAGTTCATGTCCTGGCTCAGCCAGGCCACAGCCATTGCCAAAGACACCAATGAGCAAAGGTCTTAGCTGCCTTATCCAGAGGAGGGGTTGATATGTTTGAGGCACCACTAGTCACGTGCTCGCTCTGAAGGTTCTCAACGTTGGATTTCCAAGACTTCTGCGACTTTGTTGAGCGTTACATGCAGTACGAGCGTGAGGCGCGGTCCAAAGCGGTAAACCATAAACTGTGCGAAGCAATACTGGGCACACCAAACGGACGTACTGTCAGATGCTGGGTGGGTGTCGCAGATTCAGCCTGGTCACTTCAGTTGTGCTTTGCTGCGGTTAGCATGATCAAGGAGTCTCTCCACAGTGCAGGGCACGATCTTTTCTGCAAGAGTTTATAGGACAGGGAGGGCAAACCAAGCGTCGCGTCGAAGACTCTCAACTCAGCTTGACCTGCTCAATAGAGTTTGCAGAACAAGGATTGTGTAGTCCTAAAGCGGAGACATTATGTGCATCTAGTGAGCTCCAGACAAGGGAATATGAAGCGGCGCATGTAGAGAAGCAGGTCTTGCAACAGGTTTTCACTTTGACTGAAGCTTGGATAGAGTGTCCCACAGCCTTCGGAAGCAAAGTGGCTTCCGCACACGAAGCTTGACAAGTTGTGCGATCATAGTCTCTGACACCGCGGCTGCAATTTGAGCAACATCAGTTGACAACAAGCGTGCTGCACAGAGCGGACGTACGCCGTGACACTGTTTCGCACTAGAAAGGCAAACCATGCTGCTCATTGCAAGCAGACTTGGACATGTGCATGTGCAGGTCGTGCGCGTCAAGCTGGAGGAGTGGACAGCGCTGCTTGGATTTGACGCTAAGAATCGATTTCATTCTATTCTCATGTCATGGGGAAGCTGCCACAGGCGGGAAAAGGATGAGGACGAAGCCGATGCCGTCTCTGTCCTGCTGTCATGTTCTAAGCAGGCTTTATTAGGTGGCCTTATAGTTTCTCTGCCTGGCCAGGAAGTACGTGGGTTCCTGAAGTCCCTGGGCATCATTTGTCTGAAGGCAGCCTAAGAGCCCCCTGCAACAATGCACTGGCTGTCTGGTCATTTCCTGGTGAGGATACCGCCGAAGAGATCATCGAGCTTGGCGGGATGAGCGATTACACTTGCTCGCGCCCCGAGGTTTCCCAAGTTGTTTGGGGGATACCGCAAGGTATAGTGGGACGACCAATCACTCATAGGGAAGTGGAGGAGCTGCTGCGGTGTCTGGCAGCGTACCGAGCACGAGAAGGCTTCAAGAAAGCTGACGCTTGCCTAAGGCATGTCGTGGATCAGAATGCAAACAGCTGCATCGAGATTGTTCATGAAGCTTGCCAGCTTTGCCAGCTTAGGAGATTGAGCGTATCCAGCAGATATTTGGTTCCTTGGAGGCCAGATGTCAGCATGGCAGCAGCATGAGTAGGTCATGGCTTGCAGTCTGCCAATTCTGGACATTTGTCAGGCAGAACCGCAACCCAAAACCGCAGCTGAAATGAGATCGGAAAAGCCCAAGCCTTAAAACATGATGGCAGCCATTGTCAGACGAGCCACTGTGTGCTGTGCTCTGCAGGCACATCAAGGCTGAGCAGCTTTGCATAGGTCTCCTCAAGTTTGCTGGACTGTACTGTCTGAGGCCTAGCGGGCCCAGCTAAGCTTTGAATGTGGGGGTTGATAAGAAATGAACCGTCGAGGTGCTGAACATCTTCGAGATCTTCTGGACAAGCTGGAGGATACGATTGAGGTTGGATGCTGAGTTGCGTCTGTGCTCGTTAGAGCTGGAGTCGCGCCGCAAAGCTGGACCTGAGACAGGGCGAAAAAGTGACTCCGTTTCCGTTCTACGAGCACCTCTCTCAGACCTGGAAGTTATCTTGGTTCATATCACTGGCGTAAACAATTGTAGCCAGATATGTGGCACTCTGTGCAGACCTTCGGCTTCACCATGTTGAGTCATTGCAGTGCATCACCATTTGTTTGGTGTGAGGTTTCTGGTGTGCACGCGGCGCCTTCGTGTGCCTTGGCAATGCCTCAGCTCATGACAGTCAGCTCAGTGAACCTGTGGCCTTCAAGGATGCCCAGCTTGTCGCAGCCTCGGAAGAGTTTGACAACCTGGATGCGGACGAGGACGGGATCATGGAAGCTGAGGAACTTCGCGAGTTCTGTGCCTTGGAGCGCAGCCGTTTCGGCAAATTCTCTTTTCTCTGGGGGATAGTTGGGGGATGCTCGAACAGTGCTTGCTCAGTGTCGCCGGCTGTGTGCAGCTTGCTGTAGGCGTCTGCCATGCATACCAGCCTCGAAGACACGGTGTAATGTTATGTAATGTTAACGCTACCGCGCGCCGCCTCGGTCGACTGGAGCACCGGTCAGCAGTGCCGTCTCAGAGACAGTGCAGCTGCCGTTAGAGTGGCAGCAGGGGTTTATTCGGCAGGTCCAACGGGTTGCTGAAGCAGGAATGGCAAGGGCGGCAGCATGATGCAGAACTACTGCAATGTACATAGTATTACATAGTACCATCATCCTCCAAGAACAGAAGCCCTGCATAGTCTTGCCATGTAAACTGCTTGATTACACAACCCCTTACAGAGCCCTAGGTGTGCTGCTGAAACACAGCAGCCTTATGAAGCCCAGTGGAATACTTCAATGGCCTTGCAAAGTTTCCCTAAGAAGTTGTATGGCAATTTACAGATTCCTCCAGCTGCATAGTTGGGTTGAAAACCAGAAAAACGCGGAACAGCGGGCACGGAGGTACGGATAGAGGGGGGCGGGAGGGCCAGGGGGAGGTTGGGGGAAGGTGGGGGGTGGGGGGGGGGCGGGGTGGCTTTGGGTCCGCTCACCGTACAAAACGGACGGATCACAGTACATCCACAAGCACTCCAGTATTAACCTGAGTTCCCTGTACCCACACCAAAACATGTCCAGCGCACGCCGATCCAAGTATGGACCCCAAGCCCTAGCCTTGTATAGTTTATCCTGCTGGGTGGTTGGGTGGTTAGGGTAGGCTAGGATAGGGTAGGGTGGGCGGTTAAGGTAGGTTCTGGGTAGGGAGGTGGGTGGTTAAGGTAGGGCAGGGTGGCGGGCGGTTAGGGTTGGGTGTGGTGAAGGGTGGCTAGGGTGGGTGAGGGTAGGGTCGTGGGTGGTTGAGGATGGTCAGAGTGTGATAGGGTGGTGTTCGGGTAGGACAGGGGGTAGGGTATGGTGGCAGGGCCGGGTGGTTAGGGTAGGTTATGGTAGGGTAGGGTGGTGGGTAAAAGGGTAGCTTAGGGTAGGGTAGGGCGGTGAGGGCGGTGGTCAGGGAAGGTTAGGGTAGCGTAGATTATGGGTGGGTGGTGGGTGGTTAAGGTAGGGTGGGATGGGTGGTTAGGGTAGGTCAGGGTAGGGTTGGGCACGGTGGTGGGTGGTTGGGGAGGTTCGGGTAGGGTATAGGGTAGGGTAGGGTCGTGGGTGTTCGGGTTAGGATAGGTTAGGGTAGGTTAGGGTCGTGGGTGGTTAGGGTAGCTTATGCTAGGGTCGGCTAGGGTGGGTAGGTCGTGTGGTTGGTAGGTTATGGGTAGAGGTGGTTAGGGGTGGTTAGGGAATGTTGGGCTAGGGTAGGGTTAGGGTGGGTAGGGTGTGGGTGGTTCGGGTACGTGGGTTCGGGAAGGGTGGTGGGTGGTTAGGGTAGGGCGGGGTCCAGCCTGGCAAGTGCAGGTCACCGGAAAATGTAGCACTGTAATGAACATTTCGAGCTTGTTTCGTTCCTGCTGCTATTTCGCAGCCAAGGCAAGCCACTGGGTTTCACGCTATCGGCTATGGAATGGGAAGAGCTGGCCGAGGAGCAAAACCTAGCAGACCAGGACGTGGAGTTTCAGGACGTTGCTCTGCAAGTTCAAAAAGTGCTAAGCATGCTAGGCGGAGGCATAGCTCGCACATGACACTTTCGACGTGATGCTAGGGGCAATGTCTAGTTCAACACGCGGTATTCGGCTTTACATGTAGAATTGTTTGTAGGCATTCTGTCTGTCCTGCCAGGATGCTTGGACCTTCCTCCATGCTGTGCAATCAAAGAATGGCTTCACCTATGATGAGCAGCAGGAGCTCAGCGAAGCTTTCGACCGTTTCTCTGATGCTTCAGGCTGCTATGTCCAAAGTTCAACATGGCCGGATCACGGCTATTCAGTGGTAGCTGTGGCTGTCTTAAGGATGATCAAGACAAGCAAGCACAAAGAGTGTACCTAGGATAGCCCTTTGCCAGGTGAGTTGGAGAATCTCAAAGTCAAAGACTTGCTGACCTACCTTGGCTTCGAGACGAGTGTGGATGATGTGCAAGACATGGTAAGCAGAGTGGATTTCAACGGCAGCAAGACCATGGACAGGAATGAGTTCTTGCGGCTTATGCGACTCCAAAGGGAGATCACCATAACCTCCTACACAGCTGCATACTCTCGAAATCGCCTCTTTGCCCGGGGAGGGGCACCTCCTGAGGAAATTGTGCGTGTTCTGGCTGCTGCCAAACTGCATCCCAATGTCCATATTCTCAACCAAGCCCTGTCACTGGTTGAGGAGACAGGCGAGTACGACCGCAGCTCTACGCAGTCCCTCCAATTTGAGGGTTTCCTTAAAGTGGCAGACCATTGTCGAAAGACAATACCCATTTACAACAGGAGACATGCTCACTTCCAATTGGATCAGATCGATGACCTGCGCAAGTCCTTCGACTCGCAGGATGTGGAACGTAAGGGCCACATCTCCATTGGAAGCTTCTTGTTGCTCTTGGCTGACACGTCCTTGGCCGTGAACACGGTAGCTGGCCGAGCTCGAATGCAGTTAACTCAGACTAGCAGCAGTGGATTTGGGGCTGACAGGGCTGATGCAGGCATTCCAACCAGATCTTGTCAGGTATGAGCAGCTCGAGAGGGCGCGAGAGGCAAGGAATCCGGAGTTGAATGGTCCAAGCGTTGTGGCATGGCATGGCAGGCTGCGCTGGGAGCTGGCGTCAGCAAGGACGAGGCCATGCATATGGCTGAAAGGACAGGGGGGGCTTCACTACACGGATGGCAGACCCTGATGGAAAGGTTGGATCTCCCAACACCCCGCGTGTACGCTTCCTGCCCATGGACTTTGCCTTATGAGTCTTGTGAACTGGAGTTTGGCTGCTGCACAACTTAAAAAAGGTTTTTGCACATCGTAAGCTCAGATTCACTTCGTGCACGAGACGGTCAAAAGCCATGAAGATGCGGTCGATGTCTCATCGCTGGCTGTCTTCAATTTTCAGTGACAGGTTGCTGTTCTCCGGCACAGGTCTTCTCCAGAGAGGATGCAGCCCTCAAGGCCTTCTTAGTGGTTTTGGGAAGTTGCTTGCCAATTGGCCTTTGTCCGTGGTAATCTTTGGTATGTGAAGGAAGTCACATTCTCCAAAGAGGAGGCCGGCAGTTCAGGCTCCTTGCTTTGGCTTTCAGTGCCTTGGCTTATTCTCCGCAGGTGCAGCAGTTCCGCGATCTGTTTGCTGCGCTGGTGAAACAGCATGAGGCTGAGGTTGGGGCCATACCCTGTTCACAGATGAGCTATAGCCTGAACGCCTAGTATCCTCCTTGGTACCCTATAAAATCCCCTGCATAACCTCCCTTTGAGCCTCCCTTTGAGGAGTTTAGATTAAGCTCAGAGGGAGAAGGCAATTCTTGAGCAGAGCAGGTGTCGCAGAATGCACAGCCAGAGAAGCCGTTAGCAGGAAGACGGCTGTCCGTGCCTTGCCTGAGCTTGCCCTTGAAGCAGCTTCTCTGAACAAGGGTTTGCTGACGACAGGACTGAAGTACTGTGCTTAGTCTTCAACTCGATCACCTTGGGGAAGTTGGGATCCAGGGATCCAGTTTTTTCGTCTAGGGTCAGCAAGTCTCAGATGCTGTTCGTGTCTGTGTCGACACCCTGCGGCAGCAGATAAGTCAAAGTTGCTTCCTGGACATGGAAGGCTTACAAACAATACTGTGTGAGCCCCTTGAAGTCTGGCAAACAGAGCCAGTTTACAGAGCCACCAGCCCAGCATTCATTGCTGACTGGGGCAGACTTTGATGAGGAGCCCCTACAGGTCCAGCTTGTAGCATGGCAGCCCATGAGTTTTCTGATTGCATGAAGATGACATCTATGTGTCATTCAAGGCCGTCCAGGCTGCGCAAGTTCTGGCCGAGGCAGACTGCTAGCTGCTAACTGCTCCGCCTCTGTGCCACTTGCAGCACCCAGAGATGGAAGGCAGAAGAAGCCTTGCGAGAACAAAAGCAAAAGCAGCAATCTCAGGGTTGAAGTGGATGGACTTTGCCGGAAAAGCTCATTCTTCTGGACTAAGGGACTTGACCCTGGGATCTGTGATCAAGCGGCTGACCAAGGTATATCGGGCTGCCAAGATGCAAACAGATGCGGCGAGCCTGACCAACTGGTCTTGTCTTTTGCCAGCGCAAGGTTCCTGCATCAGACATCATCAAGATGGTTACGCTCATGGGAATTCAGGCTGGTTCTCAAACACACACACACACATCTCGTACGTGTGTTTTGCATGCTGGGAATGTGCAGGTTACTGGAGTCCTCAAGCAGCAGCTCTTTGAGAGGCCTTTGATCTTGAGTGTGTTGAAGTCTCGTCGTTTCGTGCAGGTGTGGTGATTTGCAGTTGTCTCCACAGGTGCGTGCACTTCTCTGACAAGCCAGAGCAGGGCATGGACTTTGCAGGATTCCTGCAGCTCATGCAGTGGCCGAGATCCTGGCGTTTGCATGAAGCGGTGGCGGAAGCACTTCGCGAGCTTGAGGATGGTCGGCACAAACTTTGGCAACATACTCTCTGCCGCAGAGCAGACGGTGAAGTCAGCGGCCTCAGAGACCCAAGTGCCTGTACCTGCAAGGTCCGCCTAGCAGCAAACAGACACAGGAGAAGACAGCTTACAGGGCATCAAGTTAAAAATTATTTGGTGTTCAAATTCAGTAAATTCCCGGCGCGGGTCAGAACAATATTCTGTCAAGAATACCAGGCCTCGGAAAACAGATATTGTGCTTTTTCTGAACCAGGCTGCTTAAGCGCTTGGACCTTCGACCTTCTCCTTGCTTTTTGCTCGAATGTACCTATTCCTGTTGTCCGTGGCCGGCACGAAGTGAAACAGCATTGCCTTCGACCCATTCCCTCTCCGTAAGAGGGAAGCGTAAATGGGGAGAGACATAAGGAGAGAAGGCGGAGAGGGAGTTTGAAGGAAGCTTGAAGGGGATCAATAGAAGATTTCACGCTACTGTTGGTTGGTTTCATGAAGCATAGAAGAGGAAAGGGGGCTTTATCTTCCGCTGCCTTCCAAAGCAATGATAAGATGTGTCAATATTTAAACGAACTCCTCCATAGATCCTCCAATACATAACGAGAAACATGAATTTCTATGGTTTTTCCAATGCATCTTCATGATTTTTGCGACGCTTTTGGCTTGCAAGTGGACCCGGTGCAAAGGCTGCTTGGAGGCAGTTAACGCTCCATAACCCTTAAAGAACTTGTGTGAAATGATAACCTGCTTGAATCCAGCTGAGCTCCTCGAGTTCATTGGATAAACATGTTTCTCTGCCAATATGCTAAACCCTAAGTAGTAGTTTCCATTTTATTTTCCATTATCCCAATGTAACCCTAATATAGCCCAATCTCCCTTGAGCACTATCCCTTTGCTTCCGATACACGCCTACTTTGGCCAGCTGCTAGCAGTGCTTCAGTTTCTGCTGACGCATCTGACGCCCTTCTGCTTGCTGCCAATGCCGCCCTTTGTCGCGGAATGCCACTTGCAGTATGTACCTTTTTGCAGGTCTGAAGGTCTGAGATCTGATGGCACCAGCATGAGCCCCAGAGGAAGAGTGCAAGTGCCAAATACAGTGCACTCTTGTATGTCTAAGGTGCCGTTCCGCAGCAGCCAGGGGTGATGAATCTATCCAAGTTTGGCCACATGGAGATGAGCGTCAACGTGCGGTCCAGGCGCAGATGTCATGCCAAGATGTGTGACTCACATGGGTGGTTGTCAAAATTATGGTCCCTTTTTGGGTACCCTAAATATTAGGTGCCGCATGATAACAGGGATCCAAAAGGGGATAATGATTCGACAACCACCCACATGACGAAGCGTTACAGGAAGTACCTTGGTTGACCTTTCGCCGCCGGATGAGATCACGAAAGCAATATGTTAATGGTCTGTGGCAGCCTCGTCAGTTGTCAAAGATGTACACAGCAAGCTGCAGGTTCTGGTCTAAAAGCTCAGTCACCTTGCTTTAACAGTTGCACCAGCAATGATGTGCTTCATGGAAGAATTGAGTCCTGCGCTTGCAGTCATAGACGCAAAGATCCATGACCATTTCCTGAATTGGATCCAAGCTGGAACCCCAAGGGTCTCCTGCTCGATGCATGCTCTAGCTTTTGCAAAAGCACATTGCAGAAGTAGTTTTGGGCTAGTTGTTTCGGCATAGGCCTCAAAAATGATAAGGCATCAAACAATACTTTGGCAAGCATCACCAAAATAATTGGACAAGCACCAAAAATAATCTAACCCGCAGGCCATTGGCCTCTCGGCTTTTCGGCTTTCCTGGCTTTAAGATGCTTTAGGGACTGTTCTGCATGACACACAGGCACCTGGCTTCGTGGCTCTTTTCCTAATGTGTCTTGCACTATTATTCTTGTCCATATTCGTATTACGACTATTGCTATTCCACCTTCTCTTTCTTTTTGCTAAAACAGAGTCTTGTGGCCCTCAATTGTTTCTTGATGCTTATCAATTTATTTTTGTGCCGGTCACAAACTTTCATTTTTGTTCTTGATCTTTTTTGTCATTTTTTAGATGCTTAGCAATTCTTTTCTGATGCGTTACCCACTGGTTTCTGGGTTTAATGTCATTTTGCTTCTTCTGCTGCGTTGCACGCACTCTCCCTTTCTGGCTCGGGATGGTTGTAGTGTCACGGGCTCTGCAAGGAGCCTGAGGAAGCCGAGGGTCGCATATTTCTTAGGAGGAGTGTGGACCCACCCGGAGGCTTTCTTTACGGCAGTGATTGACCAAGATGCATGGACCATGATGGACCAAAATCTTCAGGGCTAACAGAGCTAACATTGTCTCCGAGATAGGGTTCATACTGGTGCTGTAGATATTCACAGCCGTCATGACAAGTTCCTCCTTTGCGCCAGTGCAAACAGCTTTTTCCTCACGAGAACGCAGAGGCTCATCTTCAAGCATGCAGACACCCCAGCTGTTCTTTGACGATGGTGAATTCTGTGAGTTTTGGCGCTATTTTTTGCGTATGTTTTTGATGTGGGCTCTTCCAGCCACCATGCGCAAGTCATTTGTCTCAACACCACCGCTCATGCTTACATGACTAGCATTGTGCCATTCTTCTGTGATGTTCTTGTGATCTGCTTGCCCGACGTGATTTCTATTGTTTTGTGAGTGAGCGATTTTGTGGCGACTTTTTCTTGAGTTGCTGTGCATCCTGCGTGTTCGGTTTTGTTTCCCTGGAGAAGCACCGCCCTTTCTTGGCAGGCTTTGTGTCAAACCTTTCTCGTGATTGCGTGGGGCGGGTGCTGGTTTCCCGGTGGCCCGGCCAGATGTAGCATGCAGAGTGCCATGAAGCAACTTCTCTTGACTTGTGCTTGCCATTTGCATCTCAAGGCATGACCACACTGTACCCCTCTTCCATCTATCCCTAATGTCCCTGAATCGGGGCTGTGCCACTGGCAATCGCAGTTGTCAGATCGTGTCAGAATAATTTCACAACATGCCCGGAACAGGAAGGCATGCGGTGCCTCCTAATCTGTTGTTGTAGCAGCTAGCACGTACTCACCAGCTTAAAGAACTCTAAGGGGATCCTCGTGGATCTGTGCTTCTGTGGCCTAATGGGCTTATGCTTACAGGATGAAGCGACTTCTTGCACTGCTTGGAGCCTGCTTGCATTTGGCAAATGGAGATTGTAACGTGCACGGAGTGAGGAATTCAACAACTTGCGACCCTGCAGTTGATGAGAACTCTTTCGTGCAGAGCTGGAAGCATGCTGACCGGATGCCAGCTGATCAAGTTCACCAACATCGAGTGCCGACAGCATGGCAGTTGAACTTGATGTGGTGGGCGCCTGCGATGTTGTGGCTGGCGCTCCTGGCCCCTCTTGCCATGATGCAAATCTGGCCGGGAGCCAAATCCGAACGGGCTACGGAGGCATTACTGCACGGACACCAGACCAAGCAATGGAAAGAGTCCGATGAGCAGGAAGGTGGCAAGGGCACAGAGGACTGCCTTTGCAGTTTGAAGTATTTTGAAGTGCACTGGAAATTTGTGTGGTTCCCGAGCAGGACCTGCAGTTGGACGTGTGTGGTCTGTGCAATCGCTGGACACAAGAAGCCGAGAGGCTACGGGGTGCAGGGCCAACAGGTGCTGTGCTAGGGTGCAATTGGAACCAAGATCTCGCATTGCACAAGCTCGACGAGCAAGTCAAAAGTATCTTTCTGGCCCCTGGTCTTTAAGCAAAGCGGACAATGCTGTCGAAAATGCTGTTATAACTCCGAACATCAAAGGGGTATTCCACATGCGTAGGCTTGACATGTTACAGGCCGGCGGGCTTGCAAGAAGCCTCTATGCTGAAGGCTGATGCTTTTACAGTCATGGCCTGGCCACATGCTTCCTGGCACTTGCTAAGAACTTTCAGGTGCTGCTGCGGCACTGTCCGGGACCTTGTCATTATTGCGTCGAGTGATCTGGTGGATTCTTTCACAGTGAGAGAACCGAGGCCTGAGCGAAAGCTGGATGGCAAACGTGTATGGATGGGGCCTCAGTGAAAAAACACCGGAACCTGTAGCTGTTTTTCCAAATCAGCTCATCCAACTTGATCAGGTACGTGCGTTGGGGCACTAGCCTTCACGTCAAACCTTTTCCTTTCTGTAGCTCTGAAGCAGCTGTCAGGGCCTCAAACAGTTGGAGCCCTTCCTCTGACGTCTGCAGTCGCCTGGAGCTGCATAGGCTCCTGCGCGTGGGACCGGGGCGTGGAAGGCGACCTGCAGCTCTGCTGCTGGAAGTAGAGATCATCCCATTTGTGTTTAAATGCCAGTGCGGGAGCTGCTTTGGTGAGGGGCCTAGCCCGGAAAGGCATCTTGCTAGAATTTGACAAGAAATCAGGAGGGTGGCCGCTTTTCTTTTGTGTCGGAATCCCTGCGGCCGGGTACGGGACGTGGATTCAACGAGGCGCCGTGGAACCTATCCGGACTCTCCAACGGATCGACGACCTCTGAGCGGGGGGTAGAAATGGGGAATATGTGCCTGACCACCATCACTAATCCTAGATCCAAGCCGCCGGCCACCGGCCTTTGCAGATTCAGCATCTTCACACGCTTTCGCATCTTCTCGCACTTGAATTCATCATCCTATGCCCATGCAGGGATGCGAGCGTTTACGACGGCGGGCTCCTTACTTGCGTTTTCACCACTATGAATGTGTGTCTGCAGCAGGATCCCGGCTTGGGAGTCGTGATGTTGAATTCCACGATATTCAACGTGATCGCTTCAAGTCTTCAAGTGGATCAGGATTGATCGTTGTAGTGGCTTGTGCCATTCTTCCCTCGCTGGTTGGCTTCTTGGAGGCGGAGAGCTGCAACAGGACAGATCCTCCCACCTCTGCACAGCTTCCTGGTGTTGGCGTCAACTCATGCAGGAACGCGCGATATGCAGCACGAAGCAGTGCGGCTTCAGCCTTAGATTGTTTTGTTCTTGCTGGAACGACCTGGAAAGAGTTCGCAGCGAAGAGCGAGGCTTTGATGGGCCTCCTGGGTTCGAAGGCCAAAAGGCTTCCAGCCACCAAGGCTCGGTGATGATGAGAGGACGGAACTCCAAAGCACATCTCAGCTGTGAAGGCCGGCAAGGATCCCTTGGGCTCCTTGGGGGGCATTGCCGGAGCATTGAGGCTTTCGGAGCAATTAGGTGAGGCGGGCAACTCGGAGAAGGCTAGCACTTTGTTTCCGCATGTTCCTTGTGTAAGGCGGTGCCCTGCCTTTGGCGTGCTTCCATGGCATGCATACAGGCTGACCACTTTGAACCTTGTGCAGTGTTTTGCCAAGCATTTCGCATTTCCCCCATCTGTCGAAGTTGCATTGAAAAAAGGTGACGGTGCTGGTAGCATGGCCACAGACTTGGGAGAGCTGATATTCATGCTGCTATTCTGCTAAAGCTATGTAACATAGTCAAATAGTCGTTCCCCAAAATTTGCCCAGGCTGTGGTCACAACTGGGAGCTGTGGCATTCCTGGCACCGTTAGGCTTGGTTTTCAAGCGTGCTAGAAATATCTAAAGAGGTTTGTGCTGCAGGCTTCGCGCCGCTTTTGCCTGTCACCGCTGCCCGTCTACGCAACCTAGTTAGCGCCCTGATGCTGAACTCTGTCTGGGATGGGTAGAACTGGAGATGATGCTGTAGAGAGGTTGAGACCTACGTTGCTTACGAGACGGCTGCGCAGTGCCTCGACTCTGTACGTCATCTGGCATCTTGCTGGCTGATCTTGAGCTGAGGCAGCGCCAAGCGTTCATTGGCGACACCCGGCTCAGACAAAGTGCAAATTCGGATGTAAGAGACCCTGAAAGCACCTGTGATGTGCTCAGGAGGCCGAGTCCAAGCAAGGCCTGCCCCAAGTGAAAGGGCAGGACCGGTGCTGGTGCAGTTCATGACTGACACAAGTGCGGACGGATCCTGACAACTGGCTTCAGGACCTTCTTGAGCAAGCTCAGCGTCTGCGTCGGGAGGCTGCAAACAGGGAAAGCGGGGTTAAGTGAAGGGAGTCATAAAGCAGAGGAGGATTTCATGAAGCGTCTTTTTTTGTGAGATCCCGTTCGTAAGCTGTGGCCAGGAGCTCAACTCACTTTGGGTGATGCACAACATGAGCAGGGCGCCCTGTCTGCCCGTCTGCGCTTTCAAGAGCTTGACTGTTACTCAGCGAAGGCTACCAGGTGGCTCTGTTGGCAGCACGCTGGCCGCAGCTCATTGCCAGGGCCCTTAGCATGAGATTTTGAAGATCATTTGGTGATCATGTGATGTGGCTTCAGGCACTTTCCTGTGTTGTGGTGATTTCCGTTTTGGTGCCATCGCAGCCAGAGGCCGTGCGCAAGGATCTTCGAACTTGAAGCTTTTTGCCCTCTTGAGAGGTCTTACTTCCCTTGTTCCTGCAATTGCACTGCTTGCTGAGACAGCTGCCGGTGCCTCAGACCTGAGCTTTGCTTGCCACCATCGTCTGGCTCCGGCACCTTGAAGCACTGAAGGTCTGTCTGCAGCAGCTCCATGACCAAGCTTTGGGCAGCTAAGCCTGCCCTGATTCGTGTTGAGGCCACACCTCAAAATCTACAGAAGGCTACTATGGGCTACTGTGTGTGAAACGTGTGGCCTGTGCGGAGGCCTTCATGCGCCGCTGCGAGCTTCCGGTTGTGTCGGCCATCCAGGTCGCATTGCAAAGCCTTCAGTTTCGTCTTGTCGAATGCTGCACACGTCTCAGGAGCAGGACCTGTGCCTCCACCTTTTCGGAAGCCCGGGCCTCAGTATCCTCCAGCAGCTCCGCATCCTCAGTGTGGCTTGAGGTTTCCCGTGGGAGGATGAAGAGAATGAGACAGAATCATGGCAGCTGGGAAGAAAATCACGTGTTCTGAGCAAAGCAGGACTTGGACAGGTTGTTGGAGTAGATGGTAGTTTCCGCAACTAGGGGGCTCCAATATAGACCCCAGAATACTATAATCTTTAACAAGGAGTCCCTGGAAGCACTTGATGATACCAGCAAACCAAAAAAAGGTAAGCGTGAGGATGCTCGAAGTAGATCATTATTTGTTCTGGCAAGTGATGCCAGCACATGCACTGCATCTGAAGTAAACCGCACAAGGCCGGTCTTGGTGGACATGGACTTGAAGGCCACGTGGAGCAGAGGAGGTGTATCTTTACTTTGCAAGCTCACTATCTTGATCTGCAGGTGCCTCTGGGAACTCGGATTGCTGTGCTTGGCACATCTGGGGTCAGAAGTCTCAGATGGTTCCCCGACGGGGAAGATGAGTTGTTACAGCACGTAGCGCAACGTAGCATAGTGCAGTGGCTCTCAGGCTGGGAAGACTTCTCTCTTGAATGCCGCTGCTGGAGCTCTTCGGCCATTGGCAGATGGTTCCGTGCGCAGGATTGCTCAGCTCAGTCCAGCCACGGGCATTTGGCTGCTCACGGTGTTCTTTCGAAAAGGACGCCATCTGCTCTGATGTTGCCTTCAGCAGCCTGGATTTTTCCGGGGTCACTGCTGGGGGCATAGCCATCCAATTGCTTGAGTGGGAGTGTGCGGATGCTGCTGGCACGCGTAAAGGCAAGCAAACATTCTTGGCGGCAGATCCTTGGAGCTTGACCGCTACAAGCAGGTCATTCAGGCCGGCAGTAGGGCTAGGTCACAGTGCTGTGATTCCCTGTGCTCCCAGTGGAAGCATCACTTTTTTCTTTTTATGCATTTCCTGCAGTTCCCAGCTCGAGACGTCCTCTTTGGCGTTGAGATGAGATGAAACTCCTCGTTCACGTATTGAAAGTACGGGGAGGGGTTTAGCTGAGCCACGGCAGGTGCTGGGCCTTGAAGCGGCTGCGGCTGAAGGCATTGTGTCAGCTTGCGGCTTACTGTCGACTCGGCTGCGTTGCAACTCAGACCTGGAGCGTGCTTCCCCCGCTATGAAAGCCAGAGTGGCACTTGCCCGTGCCGCGTATGGTAGAGAGGCGCGAGCGACTTGTCAAGCATGAAAGAAGACTTCCGAAGATTCGATCATCTTCGAACCAGGAGCTCGTGCTGATGGATGATCCCTTCCGCGGAATTGAGCCCGCGGATGCTGAGCAAATCCTTGAGGCGCAGGTCGTAGCAACCTATGTAAGCTTGTGTGCTTGCACGCATTCCGCATGTCAGGTGCTTGAGGGTCCTCTCTTTGCAGGGCGCTCCTGCATTGTGACCTTCGACCACAGTACCGCACAGCTAGCCATCGCCTCCCAAGGTCTCTTTCAGTCAGCTGCTTGTCTTAGACTGCTTTGAGACTGCCAGGCTTTGACAGCCTATTGGTTCTCGAAGGGGGTGCGGTAGTGGTGGGACCCTCAGGCACTTCTTATATTCGTCGCTGTGACACCTTGCGAAGTACTTTGTGATGACAAGGCTTCTGGGCAAGCGCCGCAGGACCCGACAGACAGAGGGCCAGTTCAGGGTGCTAAGTCCCTGGTTGATGGTGTCTGAATTTTGTCTCCAGGATCTGCAGAGCCAGGCTTGCGCTTGGGGCTGGGCTTTACCTGACACTGTGAACCCACCAAGAGCTCAGCAAAGAGCCTCTCGAGCCTTGCACGGTCCGAGGCCGGCCACCCAGCTAGGGGGTGGTAAAATCTCAGTTGTGCATGAACAGAAGCACCGGGCCCACAAGCTGGGTGGACCATTTGGTGCTTGGGCCTTCCTGAAGTTGGCAGGCAGGTGCCAAATTGTGTTTGTTTACTGTCTTCTTTTAGTGGACCAAATTCTGCAAACTGGACTGGATTGGTTCCTGCTGGTTGCCGCGCTACGAACAGACCGAGCCAGAAACTTGTTATCTTTCCACTGGCAGTTTGGAACATGCTGGATCAATTTGATGCTGAAAGTCGGTTTGGCGCATGCAGCTGCCTCGTGCTGCACAGCAGCGGGGGAAGCTTTCCATTCACGATGGCTGAAAGAGCGAGTCATGAAGGCCTGTGACAGCTCGCGTTCTCTACAGATGGTAATGCAGGACATGACGGTGGTTGACCTCGGGCTTTCGCATCAAGTCTGGGTTATACTTGCAATGCTGTGCAGTACGCTGGGACTGCTCTGTTTGGTGCACGTCCGGCTCCCGCTGCCTGCGTATGGATTTTGCCTGGCCTTACCCGCCTACGGAGTGGCATGCTGGTGTCTCTTCAAGAGTTTCCACTGCCGCGTGAACCTGCACCGCAACCTTCGTGACAGCCAGAACACGGTGTACCGCTCGCTGAGCGACACCTTTGCTGCTGGAGCTACTGGAAAGCTTTTGGCCAAGGACCTTAGCACCGAGAGAGTCACAGAGGCTGGCTTGATGTCGAGTCTGAGCCTGCAGCCTCAGGAGCAACACGTCATGGAGTTGGAGGATGGGGGCAAAAATGTAGAATGAACTGTTCAAAGTTGAGGTATTGCAATGGACTTCACCACTGCCACGTAGAGTTGACAGGAAGCCACTCTGCAAGTCTATGCTGGGCGATGTGCAAGGATGAGTGGGCCTTCGGCGTCCTGAGCTTGGAGCACCCTAGCCACATAGCGTATTCGTGTGCGGCGGAAAGAGATTTCAGGATGTTGCTGACACAAATCTCGCTGTGCCTGAGTGCAGTGTGGCAGCCCCAGCTGCTTCAATTGTAATGTGTTTCGGATTGGGACCCCAAAGCCTCCAGCATGCTGAATCGGGCCCTTCAGCCAGCAAAGCATCTGCGCATAAAGATCGGCAACGTGTTGAAGCACGTTCTCATCCATCAAATGCCCCACATAAGTACCACAATGGGGTGGGAGGCACGACGAAATGCGTTCCACCTGCGCGCAAGGCTCAAAGGAGGCTCTTTCGAGTTGCATATGGGGTCTGGAAATCCTGTCTGTTTGGAGCTGTCGCCGCGGCGAGGATCATCAGTCAGAAATACTCTCACGTGTACATGCAAACCTGGCACGAGCAGATAGTCTCGTGCAAGCAAAATGAACTCATGAGATCGCATGAGATTGGTCGGTATTGCGGATGTGCAGTCTGCAAGTCCCTCTCTCAGTGTGGACTCGGCCAAAGGTACACTTTGGCTGCCATGTTGACAGTCTCGTACATGGATGATGTGACAGAGGCAGCGCGCTGTTCCAGTTTTCATACTGCCTTTGGCCCTCCTGTGCAGGTTGGTCTGACCTTGGCACCCCTTGCACTGCTGGTGTGACGGTCCCAGACAAACTTGGTGCACTCTTGGCAACCGTTCTGAGCATAGATTGCCCTACATTTAGCCACGTCTGCATACAGTTCGGAGCAGATTCTTCCGATAGCTTTTGAGGCAATTCCTGGTGCCCAGCGTTGAAGCGTTGAGCGGCTTCGAGGTGCGTTTGCAGCAAGCTCTAGAAATCCATGCGCATATGGCATGCGCTGAGATTGACAGACTGGAGAGATGCCAGGATGTTGGTGCGGCTGCTGGCAGACTTGTTGACGAGCTCCAGCAAGATGTCTCTCCAAGAACATTTGCCTCATGATCCAAGTGCGTGCCTCGTTTTGACCTACTGGATCTGTATCACCTCCTGAGTGTGCATTGGGTAAGGCCGGATGTATTTCTGAGAATGGGCCCTTTTGCAGCGGATTTCAGTGTCGCCTCAAGCGAGTAAATAGTGTGGTTCCTGAAGAGCAGCAGCAGTGACATCTCACCCTTGCCTCAGACATCTATTTCACGATTTTCCTGCATGATCAATTCTGAAGCGTTTAGTGCTCGAAGAATGGAGCCCCGTTCGCCTAAGTTTGGCAAAGGGGCCAATCCTCGGCCTGCGAGCGAGCAAGGCCGACGAGGTAAGGACGTCGTGGATATCTGCAATGGACGCCGAGGCTGCGCCCTTGCTCTCACGCAAACGCACTGCAAGGTACGCTTCTTGAAACGTCAGGCCTGGTGCAAAACCGAAGATGCCGAAGAGGAGGTGGAGGCATCACACATTCTGCCTCTTCGACAAATTCTGCCATGGACCCCACAGTGGGATGGCGCAGCTGCGACAGAGGAGGCTGCAACGTTTGGCGATCTAATAGCCTGTACAGGCATGCAGGAAGCGTTGCGTGCTAAGCCTCTTCGAGCGTCTCCAAGACTCTCGCCGGTGCCGCTGCGAAGTTCGAGCGAGGGTGACAACGATCTGTATCGTGCTCCCCTGCTCTCACTGCCTCCCAGACGCCACGTCTTCCGAGAAGACAGGGAAGTTGTCAGAGGCTTCCGAAGAACAGCAGAGACAGTTTGTGGTTCCATAGCAGCTGCATGGCGGCTGGTGCTGGATCAGAAGCGTGCTGGACGCATCAAGTTCGCGGACCTCGTCCGTGGTGGACGCCAGATGGGTTTCTTAGGCAATTATCGCAAACTGTGGCAGGAGCTGACAATGCATAGGTCATTCCACAGCCACTGGATAGGACTAGGAGATATAGATCCTCAGGCAGCAAAGCTTCTGCAAGAGTTCTGTGATGTGTTTGAGCGTCACGAGCTTACTCTGGAGGATCTGTGGGAAAAGCATCTTAAGGGGGACGGAGACCAACGATGCTCGCACAGAGAATTCATGACTGCAATGGACAATTTGGGTTTTTCGAAGAAGAAGAGCCAAGCTTTTTTTGAACTGCTTGACTACGGCAATCAGAATGACTTGTCGATCGACGAGCTGGAGCTGCTAGGCCCGCTAGGAACTGCTAAGAACTGCTAGGAACTGCTAGGAACTGCTAGGAACTGCTAGGAACTGCTAGGAACTGCTAGGAACTGCTAGGAACTGCTGGGTGGCTAAGCCAAGCTGTTTTTTTCTTGATTCCTTCAGTCCGTTGCAGTTCTCACCCCTCGAGATCAGATTTGGCAAGCTTGCTAGCCTGTATCAGGCAACAGAACTGTTGATTTTTCATTCAGCATCAGTATCCTGGTGGAGAGAGGGTTTGCAGCCAAGGTTGCTAGATCTTCAGCATCGAGGGTCCGCCGCAAATCCGGTACTCAATGTGAGGGAGCGTGGCCGTCAAGAGGAGGCTGCAGCCAAGAAGGAGGCGCTGAGTGATTTCTACGCCTTCCTCTCCCGCAGGTTCTGCACCAGGGTGGCCTTCTGGCGCCAGGGCTTGGAAGCCAAAAACGCGGATGCGAAGGTAATGTTTCCTGAGTTTTGCAAGGCTTGCAAGCGCCTTGGCTACCGGGGCAAGCTGAAGACGTTGTGGAGGGCACTGGACACAAACAACGTTGGATACGTAACGCTGGGGCACATTGACAAAATAGCCGACACCGGCTTGGACGATTTCCGATCTTTTCTTGAGGACAACTTTCGTACACTGGATGATGCTTGGGAAAGGGTGTTTGATTCTGACAAATCAGGCAGATGCCACGAAAGCCACTTTGTGGCATCCTGCAAGCATCTCAGGTATCCTGGTAATGCATTGCGCGTTTTCAGATGGTTGGATGTGACCGGGCGGAGAGATCTCTTCGTGGATGACTTCGACATTTTGGGACTGAGGCGCCGTTCGGAAACGTTGAATTCCACGAATGCCAAAGTCGCCGAGCAACGTGTGCTCGAGCGGCAGGCTAAGGATCATGCAGAGGCCGAAGCCATGCTTGGCAGGTTCAAGCTTTTTCTGAACCAGAAGTTTGGTAACCTGGTCAGGGCCTGGCGAGCTCTGGATGGTTCTGGAAGCGGTCGCGTGCAGTTTACGGATTTTTGTCAAAGCTGCCGGCAGATGGGTTTTCAGGGCAACCTGAAAGCCCTGTGGCTTTCCTTAGATAACGCTGACAAAGGAGATGTTTGCTTGGACGATCTTGATCCGGATGCTGTCACCTGCATCTTGGATTTCACGCGCCTGCTCCGCATCTTCTTCGATGATTTGGACTCCTGCTGGCTTGCTGTTCTTGATCCTGATGCATCCGGACGCTGCAGCCTGGAGGAGTTTGAGAGAGCATGCAAGGTGCTGGGATACATCCGAAATGCGAAGCAGCTCCACAAGTACCTTGACATTCACAATACCGGTGTCATCACCATTGATGAGATGGAGGCCGATCTTTGTTTTCGACAGATGGCTGCAGTTCTTGAAGACGGAGCGGCTTCGTTGAAGTCCCTGTGGAAAAAGCAGTGAGTTGTGCAGCTTCGTTGATTGAAAGGTGCTTGGCCTTCCCAGAGGCCCTGCAGAAGAGGCCGCTGTGACTGCTCTTGTTGAAGCTGGTGTCCTACCTTGTCAGTGTGAAGGCTCAAGCAAAGGCTAAGGCCTCGCACCCAGTCCATGCACAGCTCAGCCGCAGCAGATGCTGCTCCGTTTGTGTGCCAAGGCTCAGCCCTGCGAAGCGCGGGAGGAGCTTGACCAGCTCCTCAAGGCGAAGCTGAAACTTTTTTCAAGCGCCAAATTCACTCTCTCATCTTGATTTTGGGTGGCTTGATCTGTGACCGCTTCTTCTGTTCAAAAAAGAGGCCAGCTTCGGCTCCAGCGCGGTGCGGGGCTGGCTGGGAACTCTTTGAGCATCCAAGCGCGGGCAATTGCAGAAGACGGCCCAGGCGCCAAGGGCTTTGTGCGGGAGCGCCCGAGCAGCACTGGACGGAGGAGATTAGCGTAGAGGACGCTTGGCCGATAGAGATGCAGCTTGCTTTGCAAAGGCTTCATGTTCATAAGCCTTGGAGACAGGGCAGTCTACATCAAGTGTTTTCATCTAGAAGTGCTGTGTAGATGCAACAAGAGTCGGTGTTTGGAGTGCACAGGCCCTTACCGGTTTAAGAACGGCAGATCTGTGTGGACTGCGTGTCGGAAGGAGTTCTGCAACCGTTGCCGCCAGCTCGGATTCAAGGCCATCAGTTGTTACTATTAGGATTATCATTATTACAATAATTTCTGTTGTTATTATTACTACCATTACCATTACTCAGCTTCTTATTTGCCTTCCTTGTCCTTGTGACGTTGCAATTTTCCAGGGCAATCTGCTGGCCTTGTGGACGCAAGTGCATGGTGCAGGTCCCTGCATTTGTCATGCATCCATGTTGCTGCAACCTCTTTATGTCGGGTCATGCCAGCTGGTTGGAAAACGCAGCCACTTCTAGCTCGAGACAAGCTAGTTTTTAACGGTCGTCATGTCGCTCAGTCTACTTCCTTTTGCGCTACCGGCAGCTCCAGTGGCTCCCGCAGTGCGGACAAGCCACAGTCAGGGCAACAGCTGCCATGATGCACCCAACAGGATGAATGGCCAGTGGCTAGGCCTGTCGCTTGGAGGGCTCATGGGCCTCGCATCGCGAAGAAGTAAGGCCTTGGCTTGTCGCCACGGCAGCCAAGCCAAAGCTGGGTGCTTTGTTGCAGGGCCTTCAAAGAGCCTGCGGAGGGACCTCAAAAGCCAGATGTATGCTGTTGATACGGCGAAACCAGACAGAACGTAGCTTGGACTTGCATTGGCTTGAGTTGTAACTGCACATGACTTTAAACTTTTTTTTGTTTGCAAGCCTGTCAGACGAGGACGCTTTTCACGAAAGCGGGGCCAGACGGCGTGTCACTTGGTGACTGCCCCTTCTCGCACTCCGTGCAGATGGCCCTGAAGCTGAAAGGTGTTGACTATGACGTAGTGCCCTGTACAGAGGCAACTAAGCCGGCGTGGCTGCAGAGCGAAGTTGGTGGCCAGATGCCCTGCGTGGTCTTCCAAGGAGTCCCCCACGTGGAAACCAAGCAGATTCTAGGATGGATTGAGCAGCAATTCCCAGGCCCTTCCCTGGCAGTACCCGAGGAATATGTGAGCGTGGTTGACCGGTCGATGTTCTGGCCGGAGCTGGCGGCCTATACGAAGAATACAGACAGCAGTAAGGATGAGGAGCTGAAGCTCAACCTGCAGATTGCTCTCACGCGACTGCGGACTCATCTTTTCTCCCTTCCTGTGGATACCAGGTTTCTCGCTGGAGACACACCGTCTCTGTTGGACTGTGACCTGCTGCCCAAGCTGTACGTGCTTCAGAACGCAACTAAGCAGCTCAAGGGCTACAGCCTGGATGACCTCATGCCCACGGATGACGTCCGCATGTATTATGAGCGCGGCTCTACCCTGCCACCTTTTATACAAAGTTGCTATCCTCCGGATGTGTGCTTGTGGGGCTGGCAGCAGGCACGAGGTTGAGTGTGGTGGTGGTGCTGCACCCGCAACAGCAAAGAGTGCTTTCGGGAGGCGCATGGCCCCTATTCTTTACAAGTCTTTCTTCAGGGATTGCTTGCGGCGCCCTTTGAAAGTGATCCGCAAAATGGCCAGATCTGACTTGATGTGCAATGTCATTTTGTCTGAAATGTCTTCCACGCTCTATGGAGATGTCGTTGAGATTGCATGCCTTATTGGTCTGCCTTGGCGAGGTCTAGATCACGATCTCTTGCAGGCCCTACTTGTTAGCCAGACATCAGACATTGACTGCAATGCCTCATGCCTCTGCAGGCGCATCAGTTAATGCTGATGGGCAGGAAAAGAGCTGGCAGCGTCCTCAGACAAGACCGGGCTGTGGCTTCCTTGGTCCTTTCCAGGCCAAGCTGTCTGTCCTAGGCATGCGCACCTCCTCTGCAGAAAGGCTGGGACCAGGGGGAAAATGGAGCGAACTGGAGTGCTTTGGTCGATCCTTTGGAACTTCCAGGCGGATCCGAGTGGCAGATCAAGGCCTTTTGCATGCACTTTTCAAAAACATCCAGGTGGCAATGCAGGCATGCCCATGTGTGGTCCAAGCAAAGCTAAGGCTCGCAGCCTGCGGGTCGCAGTGGTGACAACCTAAGCCGCCGCTCCTGCTGGAGTCGAGCGAAATGTCGTTCTGACAAGGTGGCAGCCAGGCCTCAAACTTCACCTTGTTTGACAAGCCTGTTCGCGATGGCGGCGAAACTCAGGCTAGGAGAGGGCATCCACAAGTAGGAGCTTAACATTTTCAGTGATGCCGGCGTTTCCTGGACAGGTGAAGCTGCTAGGACGTTGGACGCCCAACGACGGCTGGACTGCTACTGCAACCTTTGCCAGCCCTTGATCTAAGGCATCTCTTTGGTGGACTTTCTTCCTGCCAGCGGCCGAGCATTGGCTGAGCATTGGCTGAGCATGTTGCCCGCCTTCTTGGCAGCTCAGCTTCCGCTGCTCTCCACAGGCCGTGCACAAGGAGCTGCTTCAGTTTCGGAAAAAGGCCATGGCAAAGCAACATTCTGAGGCAACCTTTCTGTTAGCTCAGCTCTGGGGGCCACTGTGGCGCTCAGGTTCCATGCCGCCGAAGACCTCTGGGCAGTCCTCCTTCAGGAGTCGGAACTTCCCACACACGGCCTCTCGCACAGACTGCTTTCTCAGGAGTCGCTGAAATCTGGTGACTCCCGCCTGCGGAAGGCACCGGACTCTTTGAGTTGCTTTGCTCCTTTAACTTGTTTCGACTTTTGACAGGTGGAGTTTGCTCAAGCAGCAAGGCGTGCCATTGGGTAACTCGGCAGCAGGTGGAATTCTTGCAGGTCGAGATGCTTCAGAGTGGGGCTGTGCAAGTAATTCTCCAATTTGCTACATTTCTCAAAATGTCTGCTTGTCAAGACCTGCATACATGACAATGGCCTTTGTTAATCTTTTCCTTGGACCTGACTGTAGAACTTAGCAAAGGGCCGTCCTGCAGCCACAGGCAGGCCATTCAAGTGGGACTTGTACTAGTAGCAAGATTCGGTGGTGGTGATGGTAGTGCGGTGTGGTGGGACAGTGACTGAGTACATGAAGTTATATTCATAGTAGACCACTGGTAGTAGTACAACTACCACAAGTGGCATTGGTAGTGGTAGCTCCCGCCAGACTTGACAGTCATCTGGGCATCATTTAGATATTTGCACCTGAAGCTTATGCGATTACTGGAGTGATTTGTACATCTAGCAGTTTAGCATGCTCATGGGGCACTCCTTTTTTCTTGTGGAGCTTTGGCTGCAAGCTCATGAGAGGGATTGCGATTGAGCATTGACATGGCCAGCTACAAGAGGGCGGATGCGGTTGCAAGTCTGTGCCAGTGTTGGGCAAAAGCTGTCACTTGGGGAGGTCCAGGGCATGTCCAGGGCTCATGATACTAGATAGCTGCGTTTTACTTCAAGGTTCAATTGTGAAGTCTGGATGTCTGGATCTGATCAGCTTTGGTCTTCTTAGAAACTGGAATCAGCGCATGTCCATTTGGTGCAGCTGTGCTTGCTGAATCAAGCAGCTTACAATACATGAAGAGCTTGCAAGAAGAAGCATCGATGCATGTCATCCCCAAAAGTCAAACGTCTCCTCCATGTAACTGGGCGAGCCGCGAAAGCTAAGTTGACCCAAGCCAAATCCTCGTGCAGGATGTGCCAGATAGCTGCCATGGAGACGACGAGCAAGTCAGCTTCAGGCAGCGGAGAGAAGTCGCACCTCTTTAATTTTACTGGAATATCTGCTAACAAGGCAGGTATGGGAGCAGACAGAAAACTTGTCGCAGACTTTGTCTACGAAAAAAGCAAGAATTCCCAGTACACGCAACATCAGCTGGACCTGGATGCGAAGCAGCATGCTAAAGCGGAAGCTGTGGCGGCCGAGCTTCGGATTACAGAGGCAAGAATGTCCGAAAGTGAACTTGCCTCTGAAAAAAGGAAAGTTCAAACGGAACTCGAGGAACTTGAGAAGCATCGGGACCTGTCTCGAACCCACTGTGTCGTGGATATGGACATGTTCTATGCTGCAGTTGAGATTCGGGATCAGCCAAGTCTGGCATCAAAGCCTGTGGCAATTGGAGGGCTCGGGATGATATGCACTGCTAATTATGTGGCGCGCTTGTACGGAGTCCGAGCTGCAATGCCAGGCTTCATAGCTGTCGAGATGGTGAGGAATCCGGCTGCAGTTGGGTCGAAGATGCCGCCGGATGAGCTAATTTTCATTTCTCCAAACTTTGCGAAATATACGCAGGTGGCCATGGAGACCAGAGAGGTTTTTCGGCAGTATGACCCATGCTTTAAAGCTATGTCCCTAGACGAAGCATACCTGGATCTTACAGACTATCTATCTGCGCATGGGGTGAGCGCAGAGGAGGCTGTGCAAGAGATGCGAGATCAGGTGAAGGCACGAACGGGCCTTACCTGTTCAGCTGGCATCGGTCCCAACCGCATGATAGCTAAGATTGCATCAGATGAAAAGAAGCCTGATGGACAGACGAGGATCCAGCCGACCAGGGCCGCTGTCCTTGAGTTTGTAGACCGGCTGCCAGTCCGGAAGATCCCCGGCTGTGGCAAGGTGCTCGAGAATCAGATTTCAATCATGTTGGGGGTGCAAACATGTGCTGAGCTGCGAGCTGCTGCAGCGCGTGTCAAACGTGCTTTTGGCAAAGCAAAAACCTGCAGCTTCCTCTTGAGGGCCTGTCTTGGCCTTTCAGCCGATGAGTTGGCTGAAGAAGGGGATGAGATTGGCAATGTCGGTCGCAAGTCGCTGTCCTGTGAGCGAACTTTCCGAGCGGAATCTGAGCCGGCAGAGCTTCGCGGGCGCCTGCGCGACCTTTGCAGGCAGGTCAGCGAGGACAAGGGCTCTCAGAACAGCTTGAAGTCCTCCGCTATTGTCTTGTAATGTTGGGTATCGGTGGTTGTGGTACAAGTAATGCCTATGAGCCAAAACACATGGGCCTGACAGGACATGGCTGCTTCGGTTCCTCCCTTGGCCGGTCGAGTTGTGGCGCTGAAGACCAAAGCGTCCAACTTTGAAGTACGCAACAAACAGGTTAGCCTGGCACAGCCAGTAGGCTTTAGCCCCACCTTCGGGACGGCGGCCTCTGCGGGAAGCCCTGGCCCAGGGGGTGCTCAGGAAGCGGAGCATGAAATTGCACGCGTGGCTCTGGAGCTTTACAAGTTGTTGGAGCCAATCTTAGAAGAACAGCTGCCTTGCCACCTCCGCCTCATGGGAGTCCGTATGTCTTCTTTCAGAGATCAGCGTGCATCGCTAGACAAGGGGCAGCGGCAACTTAGCTGCTTCTTCCAAGGCAAGAGCTCCGAAGGCACTTCCAAGGCAAGCTCGGAAGCTCGCTCCGTCCAGACATCAGGCCTAGGGAAAGTGTGTGACCATACGGACGCTGCGGACGCTGCGGACGCTGCGGACGCTGCGGACGCTGCGGACGCTGCGGACGCGGGCAAGGTACCCAGTGCTGCACCTGCGGTTGATGGGGTGGCTGTGGCGGCTGCGGTTGCTTCACCTGCCGTCATAGACTTGGATTCCTCTCAGGAAGACCTTGACAAGGGAGCTGTGAAAGCAGCTCCCTCAGAGGTAAGGGTGCCGAGTGTTACAGTTGAGGTCGCTGAAACTGCGTCTAGAAGCTGCTTGAAGCGGGTGGTGGCAAGACTTGCAAGTCGTGCGAAGAGGATTCGCTCGTCCGGCATTTGTTGCCCAGTTTGCGGCATGCGAGTGCCCGAGCATGAGGCGAATCAGCATGTGAATGCTCACTATGGGGACAACTGAGCTGAGCTGACCATGCATTCGTGAAAAGAAGGGGCCTTCGCAGTGCAGTCAATGACGTAGAAGAGTCGTTGAAGTCATGCATCTCAGGTTCACCGGCAGCGCCGACGTGGTCTTTGAGGCCAGACACCTGGCCCAAGCACAAACTGTGAAACAAAGCTGCGTCCAGCAAGGTGCTCAGATTTTAGCATGTCAGCATGCCGTGACGCAGGCTTGTGACATCGAGCAGCGACATTCCATTTCCTTGCAGGTCTGCGAGTGTTGGCGAATCTGATTTACACCTAGCCTGTGCTGTTCTTGTTGGCATCCTCAGGATTTCCATTTCCTTCAGATCGGCATGTCCTTCAGCAAGCTTCTGCAGACTTGAGCAGGAAAAGACAGTTTTGAATCACCGGGATGACATGCCCTTTGCAGATTTGTTCTCTTGAGGTGTGTATATCATATCCGAGCATCGTGTTAGGTCTTTTCCTGGCTACTTGAACTGTTTGGGGATAAGCTTGCCTCCTACTGTAGCCTTTACGCTGTCCATGCAGTGTCTCCTTGCTTGGAATGCTTGTGAAGAGTATTTCCTGCATTTTTCGGCTTGAACTGATCTACAAGCCAAGCATCGGTCCGGTGCAGTGGCTATGGCAGAGGCGCCATCACCATGGCACATGGCATGTAAATGAGAACCCTTCTCTTTGATATCTTCTGGGAGTATTCTTGCTGTCATGTAAAGCTCTTACGTGTTCAGGACACAGATCTGAAATGCTGCAACATGCGGCCGCCTTCTGACCTTCCTGAGCGCCCGCGAGCGAAGGAGCTTTGTTTTGAGCTGCGAAGTCTTCGCTGGGTTCCTTAACACTTTAAATCAAAGGACTATAATAAGGAAGGCCTATTATTTACGATATACTGTTATACTGAGCTAGTGTCAATATTCTCCTTATTAAGGGTCCCTCTTGCAATTTCGTATAGTCCCTAAGATAGTCCCTCATAAGGAACACATGTCCATTGAATTATTTCAGGAACTATTGATTGTGGCTCTTATTATGGTAACTTTAATTCAAGTTCCTTAACAACACCCCATTTTTTTGCCGGCAGTGCAAGCTCTCCTCCGCTGATCAGGAAAGGAAGCATGGTCAGCTTTTGAAGGCGGTGACAGAACGCATTGTTGAAGTGTACAGTACCTGCTCCTGCGTCTGTATTAAGATGAGCCATTGCACGAGTCGGCGCAGACTGCAGAATGTGGAGCATAAGGTTCTGACGAGTTTTCCTACTCTACAGGTTCGTGCTCCAGCTGAATTGGTCAAATTGGCTGAGAATGACATGGAGCACAGAGGGCTTTTACTGCTTCTTGTTGCCTGCTGCTGGGTGACTTGTGGCCAAGGAATCCGAAGCGAACGCTGACTTGGCCATGCGAAGGTGTGCACAATTCAGGATTTGACAACGCCGAGCACAATTATATTTGCACCACGGCTTTCAATTCAGGTAGTGCTTTGCATTTCAAGCTTTGTCCATGTGCCTCATCCAAATTTCAAGTTGAAAGCAGCTTCTAGAAAAGTGTGCAAGAGAGCTTGCTCAGGCCACGTTGGAGACAAAATTGAGAATCAGAATCAGGACTTTGGAAAGACCTACGAGATCATAGAAAATCTCGGTCGAGCACTTACGGTAAAAATGGTGAAGAGCATGCCCGGAAACTTATGTCCTGAGCTTGCCATTCATTCGAAATGATGTCCGAAGGTCAAGGCAGCTTTGGCCAAGTGCTGAAATGTCAGGTTGACGGTTCACCGCATTGTGCTTACACTGGTCACTGTTGGCTGAGAGGAAGACACTGTCTGAGAACATTTGATGTGTGCGTGTCGAGGCCAGTGGCCTTGAAAATTAGCAAGAACAAGCCGGCTTATTTCAATCAGGCTGGTGTTCCAGCCTTTGAGAGTTGCAGCCTCATTTTCAATTTAGCCCTGGTGCCTACCCGCTAGGGCTGCATCGAAGCCAATGTCTTGAAGAGACTCAACTGCTTTGACACGTGACTGGGCAAGCCTTAGATGCATCATCCGAAATTGCTCTGCTCCAGAAGCAGCACAGGATAGAGTCAACAGGCTTGTATGGAACTGGCAAACGCCGACGCCGAGGCAGCACATCGTTCGCATGCTGGATTGTTTCGTTTTCCGCAAGCATCTCTGCATTGCGTTTGAGCTGTGCGGCTCCCGGCTCTCGCTCTGCTTGCGAACGATTCTGTCACTTTGCAAAGAATTCTCAGCTTCTGAGGTTGAGCATGAATCTCTTTGAGTTCCTGAAGTGGAATAAGTACCGCCGTGTGGCGATGCCAACTATTCAGACGATCACGAAGCAGTTGCTGAAGGCCGCGGCATAATTCAAGCTGGCGGGGAGAACTGAGAAGAGAGTTCTCGCTGCTTCAGCATGTTATGCAAATGTTATGCCTGCAGTGATGAAATGCGAATGCGAATCCTTGGGGCTGGGGCACCAGGCCTTGCAGTGCCTGCGGGACGCTGCGCTGATACATTGCGATCTCAAGCCTGAGATGCCCAGCCTTTTCAGTGGAGACAGTCCCAAGCAGACTCAGACGTGCACAGATGAACACTTCCATCATCCATGCAGGGTACAGTCGGATGCAGTCTCCACCCTGCAACCCAAGGAATGTGATGGTGTGCACTCTTGATCCCATCAGGACCCGAGCTTACTTCATTTTTTTGCGCGCATGTCAAGCTGCCTTTCTGCGCAATGCCAGGATAAAGCTGATAGACTTTGGTTCTGCATGTGCAGAGTTTCACATGATGCACACGTACATCCAGTCCCGCTTCTACAGGTGGGTTGTGGGCATTGTCTTATCTGGCATGTCGCAAGGTTTCCCGGTTGGAGATTGCATTCTCGTTAGCCTCTGGGAGGTCTCCGGAAGTGCTTTTGGGGCTTCCCTACTCGAGCGCGGTTGACCTGTGGCCTCGCAGCTGCACAAAGAGTCCCAACTGGGCGGTGTGGAACGCATCTACACAAAAGTAGCAACGACGACCGCCACCGCCGCCCCCGCCGCCCCCGCCGCCGCC